TCTCATGGACTTTTCTGCCCGGGCTGGCTTTGAACCGTGATCCTCAGATCTCAGCCTCCTGAGTAGCTAGGATTATAGGCATGAGCCATTGACACACAGCAAGTGCAAGTGCTTGCCTTGAGCTGAAGAGCTCAGGGACAGGACCCAGGCCCAGAGTTCAAGCCCCATGACTGACAAAAAAAAAAAGTGGAGACAATGCCCAGGCTCTGAGTTCAAGTCCCAGTACTGGTGCGTGCGCGTGCTCATGAGCACACACACACACACACACACACATACACACACACACACACACACACACGTCTTACTCTGGGGCTTAGACTGTACATCAAAATTTCCTTTGTTTTTTGGGGGGAGGGTGCTGGGGTTGGAACCTGGGGTCTCCCCCCTTCCCCGCATGCTAGGTAAGTGCACACGCTCTGAGCTAGCCTGACTCCCCTGCGTGTCTTGCGGGTGGGTTCAGGACTCCGGGCTGTGGCTGGGCCGGGGCCAGGGGGACCGGAACTCACCCACCCCTCCGTCCCTTCATCCTGTCCGCAGCGCCTTCTCCCAGGGTGCTGAGCGGCGCCTGCTGCGGGGCGTCCTGAGCTGGTGGCGGAGGAGGGCATGGGGCCCCGACCCTCAGTCAGACGGCAGCAAGACCAAATCAGTCCCGGAGCTGTGGGGGGGCCCAAGAGGAGAGGGGGCTGGGCTGGGCTGCCGCACAGCCCAAGGCGCTCTGGAGGAGGTAAGGGGGGGCAGGACTCCCCCATCCTCCCCGCTCCCTACCCTGTGGGCCCTGAGGGGCACTCACGAGGGAAGGGTTTCTTCTGCTGACAGGTGCAGGACCAGTGTTCTTGGGGTGCAGCAGTGTGGTGCCGGCGGGCCCTCCACAGGCGGTAGGGACCCCCTCCCCCCCAACAGGGACAGCCACGCTGCCCACTGCACAGGGCATTTGCTCCTTCCCAGCAGCTTTTCCCATCACTCCTTGCGTTCCAGCCATGTCCCCTGGGGGCTGGCATCCCTCAGGATCCCCTGCCCCTCCCCAGGGGGCTTGGCCCCAGGCTCAGGCCCCCCCCACTCTTCCCACTATGAGGGGCAGCATAGGGAGGGGCTCGGAAGGGGTCTCTCGCTTGATTCTGTGTGTGTGTGTGCGTGTGCGCGCGTGCACATGCATGCGCACCAGTCCTGGGACTTGATCTCAGGGCCAAGGCTAGCACTCTACCACTGGAGCCACAGCGCCACCTCTGGCTTTTTCTGGTGTTCATTGGAGATGAGTCTCATGCACTTTTCTGCCCAGGCTGGCATTGAACTGTGATGCTCAGATCTCAGCCTCCTGAGTAGCTAGGATGACAGGTGTGAGCCACCGGCACCTGGCTCCTCACTTCCTCTTCCTTAGCATGGTGTTGATGGTGATGACAGTTTTCTGCCTGGCTTCTCAGCCCAGCATTGTACCTCACTGGCTGTGTGATATTGGGCAAGTTGCTTGACTTCTCTGGGCTTCCTCTTTCCTATCTGTAAAAGGGAGGCCATACAAAGTGCTCACCCCTCTGGGATAGCATCAGAGTGGCGTGCAAACATCCCCTGACACAGTACCCGGCTCATGCTCAAAACCCGAGCAGCAGCTGAGCCCAGGACTGAGCACTGGAAGCTGATGGTCCCTTCCTGTCCCTGCCACCTGTCATGATGACCTTTGATCCCTCCTGTCCCTAGTAAGGGAAGCAGAGGAAAGACCCCCCCAGTTCCTCCCTGCCACCCAGGGGTGGACTGAAGAGGGCTGGGGGACACGGCATCCTCAGGGTGGACGCTCCCCTTCCAGCATCTTCCACAGTTGGAGCCGCTGGACGGCAGTGCAAGGTGCCCGGAGAGAGCTGGCTGCCCGCCAGGCCTGGGTTTGCAGCTGCCCGGCTCCCGTGGCTGGCACGGCGGCAGGAGGCAGAGCGACAGAACCAGGGACGGGCGCGGGCTGCCCTGTGCCGCTGCTGCTCCTGCTGGCAGAGTGAGCCGGGGACTGGGTGTGGGGCACAGGGGCGGGGGGGGGGGTCGGCGGCCGTCCATCCCCGACAGCCAGTGCCACGGTCCCAGCGTGGCCGAGGGGGCCCCCGTGGCGGCCCCCAGCACGGGGTGGTTGGGCAGGATCTGGGGGCCAGAATTCTGCAGTGCTGGGGTCCCAGCTTTCCCACCCCCTGGCTGCTGCCCTCCCTGAATCTCGGCGTGGCCCCTTCCTTCTTCACGCCCACGGGCCCTGAGTGGCCCCCTTGCCTGCACCCTGCTCACCCGCCCGGTGCAGGGCATTGCCACGGTTCTCTTAGGGCCCAGCAGAATTAGTCCCAGAGCAGAAGAGAGGAAATTGAGGCAGAGGAGGAGAAGCAGGTATACACACACACACACATACACGTGTGTATGTGTGTGCAGGTGTGTGTGAGGGACAGAGACAGAGGCCAAGGTGGGAGGCAGGAAGGACTCTGCTTGCCAGGCTCGGGAGCTGCAGCTTGGGAGGGGAGGGCTCTGGGAGGGAGAAGGGACCCTCCCTCCGGGGAGTGTTTTTCTTGCGGTCCAGCTATGCTACAGTCACAGCGCCAGGGGCTGAGTCATTGCTTTGAAACAATTAGCCCAATATTTAATAGTTTTTTGTTTTTTTTCTGTCGGTTGTGGGGCTTGAACTCTGGGCCTGGGCGCTGTCCCTGAGCTCTTCAGCTCAGTTTTCTAGTGGTTTAATGGAAATAAGAGTTTCATGGACTTTCCTGTCCAGGCTGGCTTTGAACTGCTATCATATAGCTAAGATGACAAGCGTGAGCCACCAGCGCCTGACAGTTTTTGTTTTTGGTTTTTGTCTTTTGTCAGTGGTGGGGCTTGAACTCTGGGCCTGGGCGCTGTCCCTCAGCTCTTCAGCTCAAGGCAAGTGCTCTACCACTTGAGCCATGGCACCATTTCTGGTTTCCTGAGTAGTTAATTGGAGAGAAGAGTCTCATGGCCTTTCCTGCCCGGGCTGCCTTTGACCTGAGACCCTCAGATCTCAGCCTCCTGAGTAGCTAGGATGACAGGCCTGAGCCACCGGCTTCAGGCAATACACTGCCTCTCCCTCACCCCACTCCGTGCCATCAGTGTGGCAGGGTGGGTGAGCACTGGGCACAGGACCAGACTCATAGCAGGTGGGCAGAGCACCAGTGTTCTTGCTAGGCAAAAGGAGGAAAAAGATAACCCAACCATCCTGTCCATCCCTGAAGCAGAATGCTTGCCCTTCTTGCTGTGGCCATTCAGCCCTGCCATGCCCATTTAATAGGATTCCAGAAGAGGGTGGGGCTCAGTCGGGTATGCCCTGAGCCCTTCCCAAAGAACTCTGGGAAAGGCCTCCTGCAGGGCTTCTTTAAAGAACCATGGTGCCAATAGCTGAAGAGTGGGTGTCTCCTCCTTCACCAGGGCTCCAGAGGCCTCCGCCGGGAGCCATGTCCAGAGAGCTGCTATCATCTGGCTCCAGCAGGCTGCGGTCAGACGCCTCCTCTGGACCTGGGGAGTCCAGGGAGCTGGCCCCACGCACTGGCCCAGCCTGGCCAGCAGAGGGCGCCTCCTGCTGTTGCTGGACGCCCCTGTCCCTTGGAAGCAGGTGAGGTGGAGTCCAGCTTATTTCATTCAGCCCCACAGCCAGACGCTGTTTTGCCCTCCAGGACCCTGGTCCTCTTTGCTGTCCTGACTCTGGACAACACAGAAACCATCAACAAATGTAATTGGGCCTCTCCTGGCTGCTAGCTCTGTGCAGGTCTGTCTGCCTGGGCCCCAGTCTGTTATAAAGACAGACAAATCCTTTTTCTTTTTTGGTATTACTGGGGGTTTGAACTCAGGGTGCCTCACTTCTATCTGGCTGGCCCTCTACCACCTGACACACACCTCCAGCCCTGCTTTTACCTGTGCTGGTCCTGGGGCTTGAACTCTGGGCCTGGGTTCTGTTCCTGAACTTCTTTTGCTCAAAGCTAATGCTTTACCTCTTGAGCCACAGCACTACTTCTGGCTTTTTTTTTTTCTGCTTATGTGGTACTGAGGAATTGAACCCAGGGCCTCATGCATGCAAGGCAAGCGCTCTACCACTGAGCCACCTTCCCAGCCCAAGGGGAGGGGGGGGTGTTTAATTGAACAAAAGTCTCTTGTGGACTTTCCTGCCTGGGCTGGCTTCAGATCTCAGCCTCCTGAGTAGCTAGGATTACAGGCATGAGCCATCAGCTCCCAGCTCTTAGCCATTTATCATGGGGCAGTTAAGGAACAAGATGGATACATGGAGACAGTCACACCTTTTTTGTTATTTTCTTTATTATAAAAATGAAGTATCTCCATTATGGAAAAAATTATAAAATACAAAATAGAAAAAACGTTTTCATAATTTTCTCCAAAGATCAGTCTCTCTCCAGCCCAGAATTCATTAGTTCTGACAGGTCTAAGTGGTGATGAGCGGCTGAGGGCCTAGGAGGAGGGAAAGCCACTGGGAAGTGTGACACCACACAGTGGTCTGGGGACATTGGCTGAGGGACCAGGCCCAGAGACGCTGACTGGGCAAGTAGTGTTTCTAAGTATCACTTGGCATCACCAGGAATTTGGTTTCAGAATGCCAGGAAGAACCTAATAGACTAGACAGGTACACGAGTGGTTGTCATGTCTTTAAAATAGAACTGAGACAATTGTGGTGGTTTGCAAAATTCACATATATAGGGTCACAGTAACGGCTGACTCTGCAGGCGCAGGGTGCTTCATTGACGGGCATGTGCTACCAGTGCCCAGCTTCAGGGCACTGTGTGTGTGTGAGCCTGTATGAGGCTCAAGCCCAGAAGCCTTGCGCTCACTGGGCTTGTTCACTCTATCACTTGAGCTATGCCTGCAGTTCTGGCTTTTTGCTGGTTAACTGGAGATGGAGTCATGTAAACTTTTCCTGCCTGCGTTGGCCTTCAATTGTGATCCTCAGATCTCAGCCTCCTAATTTGCTAGGATTATGGATATGAGTCACCAGGGCCTAGCAACTTTTTTTTTTTTTGAGAGACAGGATCTGACTGGGTAGCCCAAGTTGGCCTCAAAACTCACAAACCTGTTTCAGCCTTTTCTGTGCCAGGATTATAGTTCTGTATTGCTATGCCCATGTGCCACGTCTATATACATATATACACAAACATACACAACACACATATACATATTACTTAATTCTTGCTCCTGCTCTACCACAGGCCCACGTGCCCACCCTTGCTTGGCAGTTCATGTCACTGAGTCCCCTAGAGCCCCTGGCCTGTGTGTTGTAGGTGCTGGGGGGGGGGGGGGGCTGAGGCTCCACCATTTTTGAGGAGAAGCCTCAGCAAAGCCAGCTTTGTAAAGCTGGGGGTGGGGGGAGGGGGCAGGCAGGGCAAAGCCCCCCCCCCTTGGGCTCTAAGTGGTCAGCAAGCCCTGGGAGGTTCAGATCTCCCCTGCTGGCTCTCCCTGCAGACCCACAGCTGCTGGACACGGGCCACAGCGCCTGCACTGCCCTGGCCAACCCAGCAGCCTCCCTGTGCTGGACAGAGGCCCCGGAGGGGCAGGTCCCGGGCTGAGAGCAGCCGCCCGCTCTCAGGTGAGCCCAACGTGCTCCCACCCACTGCCTCTTCTTTCTGGGGGTTTGCAGACAATTCCTCTCTCGTGTATTATCACTCAGGGTGTGTGTGTGAGGGGGGGAGGCGGCCCTCTCCCAACCCAACCCCTTCCGTTCCAGGTGGCAGAGAGCTGCCCCTCTGCCCCGCCTCCCAGCTCTGGCTGGAGCGGCCTGGATGGGACAGCAGCGCCCCTGAGCTGCCCCCTTCTGGCCCAGGCGGGCTCTGCAGCTCTGCAGGCAGGGCTCTCCATGGCCAGGGCCCCTGGAGGCGACTGGGGTAAGAACGGGTGGGGGGGGGAGCACTCCCTGGTCAGTGCTGGAGCACCGCCCCTCCCCTTGGCCTTGAAGAGGTCCCGATGCCCTTGCCCCCAGGAGGAAGGCCGTGCCGCGCTGGCGTCTGGAGACTCTGCTTCACAGGTTCCAGGCTTCGCGGCAGGCCAGGCGCCTGGCACTGACATGGCAGCGCTGGGTGGACGCTAGAGGGGTGGAGCAGCTGTCCCGGGCCCTGGTGAGTGGGCTTGGAGGCCCCCGGGCACATCACCCCTCAGCCTAACCCTGCCGACAGCACCTCCCCCTCACCTGTCGCCCGTGCCCCTAGCTCAGGCAGTGGCACCTGTGGCCAGCCTGGAGGACGTGGCGGCGGAGCGTGGTGCGCCTGCGCGTGGCTCAGCGGCTGCGGCAGGAAGAGGAGCGCTGGGTCCTCTCCCAGGTACCAGCTCCGTCACCCCATCTTGTCCCCCGCCGCCTCTGGTTCCTGGGTCAGGGGTCTCCGCGGTGGCCACCCCAGGGAGGGGATCAGTTGGATTACAGAACAGGCAGATGTTGAGCCTTGGCTGTGACTGGTGCTGCTCCATCTAGGAGCAGGAAGGCTCGGCTCGGATCCCTGGCCTCTCATCGCAGCCCCGGGGGGCTGGGTCCCCTTGTTTGGGGCTCTGCAGGCACAGCTTCCAGGTCACAAGTCAGATCTATTCTGAGACTCTGCATTTTCCCTGGGGAAGGGCAGGCAGGCTGCCCGGGCGGGGGGAGCGGCCTCTGGGGGGGACATGAGCTGGGCACAGGTGGCACCCTGGCAGGCCAATGCCAGGCCTTGAGGGGGGCCAAATAGCCTTTTCTGTCCCTCCCTGGGTACCAGGCCTTTAAACAGTGGTACCAGTGTGTGACAGCCAGGAGACGCAGCCGCAGCCGCTCCCTGAGTGCCCAGGCCCCCGGCTGTGGTGAGCATGGGGCAGAACAAAGGGCCGGGCTGCAGCCCGTGACTGGTGCCTGTGGAGTGATGCGCAGCACTGAGGCCCAGGTCCCTCAGGGCCCCCCAAAGACTCCTACCCCACGAGTGCAGCGGGAGAGGGACGGCTCTGGGGGACAATAAAAGGCTGCTTCTGCTGTGTCCCCTGAAGGCTGCGTGACTCAGCCGTCCTGACACCCGCGTCCGTGTGCGGGGCTCCTTCCTGCCAAGGCCAGCAGGCCAGGAGCCAAGGAAGAGCAGCCGGATGCACTTGCTGGCCACTGCCCCGGGCAGCAGGACCTGAGGGCTGGGTCCTGGGAGGAGTGCGGGACTGAGAGGAGGGCCGGCAGCTGGCATTAGGAAGGCCAGCTGGGACATGGCCGGGACCTGCCTGAGAGCTGAGGGGTGGAGGGAAGCAGGAGGGCTGGGCTGGCCTTTCACCACAGGGGTGCTTTTCCATGCAGCCATCGGAACAGAGAAGCCACGTTAAGGGGCAGGCCTGGGGCTGGGGGGACGGCAGCTGAGGGAACGCTTGGGTGATGAGGTCTGGCGCCTGTCAGCCACGCAGGGAGGCGGGCAGTGGCCTGCCCCTCCCACCTCAGTGGGACGATGTGGCACCTTCACTCTGCCATGTCGTCGTCAGTGCTGCGAGTCCCCGTTGAGTTCATCGAGTTCACTGCCCGTCCCATGAGGGCTCCAAGTGCAAGTTCACCAGGGTCCTTTGTTAGCTCCGGAGGCTGCCCTGCTGTGAGGCAGGGAGGGCAGTGTGCTCCCGACCCCGAGCACGCTCTCTCAGAGAGAGCGCCAGGCTCCCACGTGGGGCTGACTCTGGTCCAGCCAGAGCCCAGACGCCTCCTGCTGGCCTCGCTGCCATTACCCCCTGGGGAGAACCAGGCCCGGAGGACAGTGGGAAAGGTGGGTGGGCACAGTGAAGGATGTCAGGCTCAGGGGGCCTCCACATCCCCGTCGCGCTTGGGGGGCCTGGTGAGCAGCTCGAATGTGTCTTCTACTACCTGCCACAGGCAGTTGTCCAGTGGGAACTCGTTGTCCACCAGGTTGACCAGGAAGTAGTTGTCGTGGATGTACTGGATGATGGCGCGGGACGGGGACTCCTCATCGTACAGCTTTCCCCACTGCTCAATCCACAAGGCGAAGGCCTCATCCTACACGCACACACATATACACACAGGCCAAGACACCAGGGTTGCCTCTGGGTCAGGTTTCTATGTGCCCTACAGGTACAGCACGGGTCCCATGGCCACTGCCATCCCGCCCAGCCCACGAGGAACCGCCACATTACCATGTGGCTCTGCAGGCCAAGTCTGTGGTCTACAGCACAGGGGTTTCCCTACCGTCCTGAGGTGGCAGAATAGGCCCCTTCCCAGCTCCCTTACCTTCCAGAACATGAAGCTGACAGGATCCACCACGGTGGGTTGGATGATCTCCCGGCCAGGGAAGATGCCCCATGTGACGGCATTGGGCTGCAGCTCAGGGGCGTTGGTTATGTTCTCACCCTGAGCGGGGAAGGAGGGTTGGGCAGAATAGACCAGAGACACCCACAGTCTTTCAATGACCTCTAACTCAGCATTTCCTACCTCCAATACCCTCCCAGGCCTGTGTCTCTGACAATGGCATTGTTTGGTCTCCATTAAAACCCGAAATCCAAACTAGGTGCTAGTGGCTCACACCTATAATCCTAGCTACTGAGGAGGTTGAGATCTGAAGATTGTGGTTCAAAGCCAGCCTGGACAGAAAAGCCTGAGAATCTTAGCTCCAATTAACTACCAGAAAACAAGAAGTGGTCCTGTGGCTGAGTGCTAGAGCAGTAGTAGCCTTGAGTGAAAAAGCTCAGGTATAGCACCCAGGTCCTGAGTCCAAGCCCCATGACGACCACTACCACTGAAAACTCAGAATGCAGACCTACCTAATCTGGTCAGCCCCTCATCTGACCTTCTGCAGGCCTGCTGGGCCTCCTTGGCTCCAGCCCTCCCTGCCTGTTACCGTGATCTGCCTAAAATGAAACAGAGCCAAGTGACTCCACTACTGGAATCTCAAACTTCAAGCAGGACAATCAGGACCCCTGAAGGATCCACTGAAGACTGACATCTCCCATTCCCAGGGTCCCCAGAGACACTGTGGTGCCTCCGCACGTCCATGCCCTTGCTCCGAAGCCCTTCTCCCCGCCTCTGTGCCCTTGGAAGGTTCTGTGTACACAGGATCTCTTCCCGATTTTCCCACTCACGCTGACCAATCTCTTTCACTAGGCTGGGAGCTCTTGAGAGAGCAGGGACCTGCTTTTTTTTTTTTTTTTTTTGTCAGTCATAGGACTTGAACTCAGGGCCTGGGTTCTACCACTTTGAGCCACAATGCCACTTTTGGTTTTCTGGTGGCTAATTGGAGATAAGAGTCTTTGTGGAGGGGCTGGGAAGGTGGCTCAGTGGTAGAGCACTTGCCTTGCATGCATGAGGCCCTGGGTTCGGTTCCTCAGCACCACATAAGCAAAAAGAAAAAAGCCAGAAGTGGCGCTGTGGCTCAAGTGGTAGAGCACTAGCCTTGAGCTGAAGAGCTGAGGGACAGCGCCCAGGCCCAGAGTTCAGGCCCCACGACCGGACCCCCCCCCAAAAGTCTTTGTGGACTTTCCTGCCAGGGCTGGCTTTGAACCATGATCCTCAGATCTCAGCCTCCTGAGTAGCTAGAATTATAGATATGACCCACCAGCACTCAGTGTGGGGCCTGGTTTTGTCTGTCTGTCTGGCCTGACCTGCCTGGCCTGGGCAGGTGACTGTTGAAGGAATGAATGTGGGTGTTCTCAGGCTCAGATGCTCTGGCCCTGCTAAGTCCCATCTGAACTGTGGGAGCTAGCTCACCTTCACATCCACGATATGGTAATTGACCCGGAGCTCGTACTTCTTCAGCACTTGCAGAAGCGCCTCCACTGTCTCTCGGGAAGTGAAGAACTCTAGGTAAGCCTGGGGGAGACAGGCACCTGTCACATATCTACCCCAGCTCCTTCCCCACTGCATGGTGAGCTCCAGGCCCAGTCAGATGCCCTCCGCCCTCCCAAAGGGCCCCCACAGGCCCAAGACCCTGAGGGCAGCAGGACCGGAGACAGCCTGAGCTGGTGAATACACCAGGGGTGGGCATGTGAGGTTTCTGTCTGGACCCCTTTCCCAGCCACTGGGGAGAGGGCATGCTGGGCACTGGACACAGGCCCATGTGGGTCTGACAGGTTGAGGAAGCGAGGCCTGGGGTGATCCAGCATCCCCAGTCACTGGATGACATTTCCTCTAGTGCCACAGCCAGTAGGGCTGAGCTGGGTTTATTTACATTTGGCAGTTAACTGTTCCCAGCACTGCAGGGCTGGTGCTAGGTATACAGAGGAGGTGACCAGGCTGGGAGTAGTCAAGCCAACTGGGAAATGCACACAGATCTTTCTTTTTCTTTTTTGTTTGTCATGGGGCTTGAACTCTGGACCTGGGTGCTGTCCCTCAGCTCTTCAGCTCAAGGTGAGTGCTCTACCACTTGAGCCACAGCGCCACTTCTGGTTTTCTAGTGGGTCATTGGATATAAGAGTCTCAAGGACTTTCTTGCCTGGGCTGGCTTTGAATGGTGATCCTCAGATCTCAGCCTCTTGAGTAGCTAGTATTACAGGCATGAGCTACTGGTGACTGGCTGAACACAGATCTTTCTATAGCCAGAGCCCAGAGGCTTTGGTTCTGAACACCATCCACCTCCAGCAGCTCTGGGGAGCGGTGTGAGCCAGAATGGCAACAGCTCCCATCCGTACACTGCTTCCTGCATCCTTCATGCTTTACCCCCATTTCACCGAAGACAAAACTGAGCCTCGGGCCAAGTCTACGTCACTTAAAGTGCCAGCTCCTGTCCACCCCCATGTTCCTCTCACTCCCAATCCGGGGCATCCTCCAGGAGCCCCCTCTCACCTTCTGGAAGACATAGCCCCCGCTGGGACCCCAGCCCACGATGGGGTCAGAAGATGGCTTTCCGTTGATGTTGGGCTGGGAGTTGATGGTGAGGATGCCCTGGCGGTTCACGCGTAGCAGTTCTTCCTTCATCAGGCTGGTCTCGGCAGCCAGGGGCTCGTCATTCCAGGGCAGACATGTCACCTGGGGCGGCGGGGGGGAGCCATGGGTCTGGACTGGGGTCCCAGCCACTTTCCCGTGGGAGATGCAGACCGTCTGCCTCAATTGCTCCTCTCACCCTCCCTCTCCTTGCTAAGGAGCTCTGGCCACAGCCCCCCTCCCCCCCCCCAGGCTGACCCACAGCTAGACACTGGGCAGGGGGTCCAGAACCCACAGCCAGCCCACTCACCCTGTGGCCCTGCTGGTTGGGCTCTCCTGACAGGTAGTGTGCAAAGACTTGGAAGACGCTCTCTTCGCTGGTGAGCTCCTCCCCCCACATTTTCAGCAGCTCCTCGGCGGGGGACTTGCTTTTCAGGTAGAAGAGGTAGTAATCCTTCAGCTCCCCGAAGGCTGGTGAGGAGGAGTTACCCCTGGCAGGGAGCATGGGGGGGCGGGGGGGAGGGGGAAGGTGTTGGGGTACACTCCTGACCCTGGGCTCCTGCTGGAAGGCAGGGGAGCCATTCCTGTACCCCCTTTCCCCAGACACCGACTTCCTCACCAACGGCCATTGGGAAACTCATCCCAGTCCTGGGTGCGGTAGATGTAGCTCTTTGGTCTGGAGGCCCAGAAAATGGGGCGCACATCCTCCTCCCGGCGCTTAGGGTGGGCGCTGACAGCCCAGGGCAGGGGGCGCCTGGAGACAGGATGGAGACAGAGGACCACAGCCTGGTGGGGGGAGCTGGGGCCCTGACTACACCTCCAGGTCCCCACGGGGCAGCCCTGTGAGGGACCCAGCCCACCATGGCACAGGACAGCGCCCTTACCAGTGCCAGCCAGCGCGGCCCCCTGGCTGCACTGTCTTCCCTGGGGGAGGAGGGCTCCTCACCTGGGGTCCTCATTCCACATGCCCAGGCGCCTTAGCACCTCGGTGGTGGCCATCTCGCGGTTGAGGGTGTAGAAGTGGAGGCCTGGCACCAGGCCACTGGCCAGCAGCTCCCGGCACAGGCTCACCGCCAACTCAATGCCATAGTTGCGAATGGCAGCGTCATTGTCCTTGATGGGCTCAATCACGTCCTTGATCTTCTGGGGCACTTGCAGCTTGGACAGCTTCACCAGCTGCCGAAGGGAGGAGTAGCCCTGCCCAAGACACAGAGGAGGCCGTGGGGTCATGCGGGGTCAGCTGGCCCGTCTGCCACTCTGAATACATGCCACTGCTCTCATGCTCTGTCTGGTGCACGGCGCCACATGGTGAGACGGGGAAAGTCAGATCGTGTCTGGGGGTCGGCAGGGTCCAGGAGCTGCCCGCAGTACCTCTGACATCAGCCCTGCCTGCCCTTTGGCTCACATGTACTTGCTGGGAACAGCGTGCTCTTCCACCCAGGCCACCAGGTTCACCTGTCAATCTTTTTTTTTTTTTCTTTTTTTTTTGCCGGGCCTGGATGCTGTCTACCACTTGAGCCACAGCTTCACTTTTATTTTTGGTGGCTAATTGGAGGTAAGAGTCTCACCCATTTTCCTGCCCAGGCTGGCTTCACGCTGAGATTCTTAGATCGCAGCCTCCTCAGTTGCTGGGATTATAGGTGTGAGCCATCAGCGCCTGACTCACTTCTGGCTTTTTAGTTATTAACTAGAGATAAGAGTCTCACACAGACTTTTCTGTCTGAGCTGGCTTCAAAGGTCCTCAGAACTCAGTCTTCCTGAGTATCTAGTGTATAAGTGTGAGCCTGGCTATTCTGGTTGACTTAAGGGTAAAATACAGACCCTAAGCCCTGCATTAGGCCTGCATGCAGCAGAATTTCTTGAGGTGGGCCTGCAGATCCAGCCTTGGGACAAGTTTAACAGTCCTGCCAACAGCTAAGTTGGGGAAATACTGTCTTTAACTACAACTTATTGTGCTAAGCGTCCCTTTGGGTGACACTTGGCAGCCGGCTAATATACAACAACCTCAGCAAACACTGTTGCTATTTTAGGAAGCTGGAGGTGGCCTGTCTGTCTGATGGGAAACTTACCAAGCATGAGAGAACAACTCTGAGCTCAGCACTTTTCCTGAGCCCCGGCCTGGGGCTGGGATGGTGGGCTGGGAACTGGTAGGGGAGGCCTCAGCCATGCGACCCCTCACCTGGATGGGAAAGATGCCAGGGAGAATGGGGCAGGTGATGCCCATGTCCGTGCAGGCCTTGATGAAGCGGAAGAAGGTGTCAGCCTCGAAGAAGAGCTGCGTGATGATGAAGTCGGCGCCCGCAGACACCTTCTCCTTCAGGTGCCTTAGGTCATCCTCAAAGCTCGCTGCCTCAGGGTGGCCTTTGGGGTAACCTGACAGTAGGGAGCACAATCGAGTGGGGAGGAGGGCCGCCCAGCCGCAGTCCCCATGCCTGCACCCCAGCACAGCACAGATGGTTGAACACGGGAGCCTCCTGGGTGGAGGCTGGAGCTGCTCCCTTGGTGTGGGGGTGGAGAGTTCCAGATGTCCCACCCCGTCCTGCCTCATCCAGCCAGTCAGATAGGGCTGCACCTGGAGGACCACTGAGTGGAACATGCACGCCCTGGCCCCGGCAGGCAGCTTCTGGCATACCGTGGTATTTATGTATTGTACCCTTACTGGGGCTTGAATTCAGGGCCTGGGCACTAGGCTGGTGTTCTACCATCTGAGTCATAGCTCTACTCCCAGCTCTTTAGTAATGGATTGGAAAGAGTCTTCAGGATTTGTCTGCCCAAGATGGTTTCAAACTGGGATCCTCCGATCTCAGCCTCCTGAGTAGCTAGGATTATAGTAGGCATAAGCCACAGGTGCCTGGCTCTTATTTAATTCTGTTGCTAGTCAAGTGCTCTACAGTTGAACCACACACCCGACCCTTTTTGCTTGCTTTTCAGAGAAAGTTTCGTGTTTTTGCCATGATCCTCCTGACCTCTGCTTCCTCTGCAGCTAGGATCACAGGAGTACAACTCTATCTAGATTCAATATTATTTCTATTTTTATTTTTATTTTCATGGGGCTTGAACCCTGGGCCTGAGCGCTCTCCCTCAGCTCTTCAGCTCAAGGCAAGCACTCTACGGTTTGAGCTGCAGCACCACTTCCAGTTTTCTGGTGGTTTTTATTGGAGATAAGAGTCTCACAGACTTTCCTGCCTGGGCTGGCTTTGAACCGTGATCCTCAGATCTCAGCCTCCTGAGTAGCTAGAGCCAACCGGCGCCGGGCTCAATATTATTTTTATGTATATGTGTAGGTATTGGGGCTTGAACTTAAGGACTATGTACTGTCTTGTAGCTTTTTCTGCTCAAGACTGGCACGCTACCACTTGAGCCACATCTCTATTTCTGGCCTTTTGTGATCAGGACCCAGTACTTAAATATTTTTAATAGAGTCCAAGACTGAAAAGCTAGGATCTACATCACATAGGAAGGTTAGAACAAAGTGGGGCTTTGCTTCAAGAAATAGATGGAGCCGGGCGCCAGTGGCTCACGCCTGTAATCCTAGCTACTCAGGAGGCTGAGATCTGAGGATCGAGGTTCAAAGCCAGCCTGGCAGGAAAGGCCATGAAACTCATATCTCCAAAAAACCACCAGAAAACCAGAAGTGGCACTGTAGCTCAAGTGGTAGAGCACTCGCCTTGAGCTGAGGGACAGTGCTCAGGCCCAGAGTTCAAGCCCCAAGACTGACACCCCCCCCCCCCAAAAAAGATGGAGATAATACAATTGCCACTTTCAAACATCAGTCTGTCATGGAGTAAAAAAAAGACTCACCCTGGTTAAATTTGTGTTGCTTCTGGTGTCAGGTCCAAACCCCACAAAACAAAGTCGTGGGGTCTAAACACGAGGCAGTGGGATGACCTTGCGCTGGGCGTGAAAGGAATGGAGCCCCATGATTCCTGAGAGAGGGGCGAGTCCTCTAGCCCTGACCAGCTCTGGGCACTCTCACCTCTTCCCTGACCCAACTACTGGCAGCCACACGAAGCCAGGAGGGCAGGAAGACGGTGATCTTAACATCAGCCCAGGAGGTAGCTGGTTTCTCCTGCCTGCACCCAAGGAAGACCCTGAGTTCAGTGGGGAGCAGACCCAAGGCCAGAGCTGCTGGGAGTAGGAAAAGCCAGGTCTGGTCAGTCACACCTATGATCCTAGCGATTCATGAGGCTGAGATCTGAGGACTGTGGTTCAAAGCCAGCCCATGCAGAAAAGTCTGTAAGACTCTTATCTCCAATGAACCACCAGAAAACCAGAAACGGAACGCTGGCTCAAAGTGGTAGAGCACTAGCCTTGAGTAAAAATGCTAAGGGATAGTCCCTGGCCCTGAGTACCAGCAAGCCCCAGTACCAACACCAAAAAAAAAAAAAAAAAAAAGGATATAAAACTCTTATTTCAGGAGCAGGGGAACTTTCAACAATGAAGCTATTCTTCTTTTAACAGGAAGTTCTGAAATGACACATTTATAAACACCAGCAAAACAAGGCTACCCCTGGATTTTGCTGAGTTTGTTTATGGCCAGCTGGGTGTAACTCACTGGTCATCTTTTTTTTTTTTTTTCTGCCAGTAGTGGGGGGCTTGAACTCAAGGCCTGGGCTCTGTCCCAGAGCCTCTCTGTGTTCAAGGCTAGTGCTCCACCACTCGAGCCATACTGCCACTTTTGGCTTTTTCTGTTTATGTGGTGGTGAGGAATTGAACCCAGGGCTTCATGCATGCTAGGCAAGCACTCTGCCACTAGGCCACATTCCCAGCCCCTCATTGGTCTTATCATCCTCCTTAAGCAAAGCACAACTACAAGATACTTCCTTCATGGTCTCCCAGGACTGCATTAGTGATAGCCAGGTGGAGCCACACCTGTTCTCTTCCTGACTCCTAGCCCTGTCTCAGTGTCAGACACCTAGGCAGCCCTGCTGAGAAGAGCAGACGTGGACACAAGGGGCTAAGGAAAGGACCAACGTTATCCACAACGAATAATTACAAATTATTTCCGTTAAGCCATTTAAATTTTTTGTTGTTGTTTGAGACCAGGACTCAAATTCTTTTTTTTTTTTGGTCGGTCGTGGGGCTTGAACTCTGAGCCTGGGCACTGTCCCTGAGCTCTTCAGCTCAAGGTGAGTGCTCTACCACTTGAGCCACAGCGCCACTTCTATTTTCTGGTGGTTCATTGGAGACCCTGTCCTGAAAACACCCAACACAAAAAGGAGCTAGTGGAGTAGCACGAGTGATAGTGTCTGCTTAGCAAGCCAAGGCCCCAAGTCAAACCCCAGTACCACCAAACATAGATGCTTTCCTGAAAAAGGATCACTCCAAGAAGACAGATCAGCCCAGGCACTCAACCTCCAGTCCCTGGAATGCTTGGCTTCCCCATTCCCAGCCAGCCATTTCTGTCAGGTGAACTTGGCCCCCTGCCTGGGCTGCCAGAGGTACAGTAAAGCCAATTCAATTCTCTCTGCTGGGAATTTGGAACTGACACTCAGAACTGCCAATCAATCTAGGCTTCCAGCTGCGACTGATACCACGATTGATACCACGGACACAGGAATGGAAGTAGGTAGTACAGGAAAGCATGCCCTTGGGGCCTGCCAGAGGGGGCAGGTGTGATATGGAAAGGGGAGGAGGAAGGGCCTTGGTTCCTCTCAGGCCAGTGCCTACTGGCATCTGATGCCATCTTCTCACTTTGGCTTGGGGATTCCCTGTCTTTTGGAGTTTCCTTAGTAAATTCTGGCCCTCTGCTGGACAGGAGAGGGCTGGGAAGCTGCTGGGAATGTGAGGGGCAGTAGGCGGGTTCAAAGACAGCGTGTGATTCACCTTGAATCTTCTCAGCGGCCACTGGCATCCCCGATCCTCATGTCCCAGAACAATACAGGCAGGTTTTCCAGGCCTCTTTTCCTCCTCTTCCTCCCCACCCTCCGGGGCGGATGTGCTGGCCACTCACCTGCCACGCAGATGTCAAAGTAGTCCCCAAACTCGCTTCGGATGTGCCTCACCAGGTCTGCTGCACAGTTGAAACCTCCTTCCTCTGCCTCCCACCGGTCACCTATGGGGTCTGCAGGGTGGCTAGAGGTCATGGCTACTGGGTCTCACCTGATCTCGAGCCTTTTTGTACCTCTAGACTCAGGGCTGTAGGCACCTCAAAGGTTGGGACTTCACACTGTGTAAGTCTGACCTCACAGCTGATAAGTAGAAGACATAAGCCAGCTGTCAGATGTGTACCAAGGGCAACTTGGTGGGCATGGTGCTAATGGCGGAGAGGTGAAGTGGCTCTCCAATGAATTTGCAGGACCTGGTCACCCCCGCCCCCGGCTGGGCCCTGGGGCTCAGCAGCCCTCTCTCCCTGCCCTCCCACGGGCCTGAGTTCCTGCCTCATGGAGTTTTCCACTAGTCTCAAGTTTTGTGGAGGTCCACAGACCCCTCCCGCCCATCAGTCTCCCTCAGCCCAATCCTGGGTGGCCCAATGGCACCAGGCACCAAGATGCCCCTGGGTGAACACCAGGCTGTGCTCTGCAACAGATCAGGCCAAGCACAGGCTGACATTTATACATCTGTGCCGCTGGGACAAAGATTAGCAAGCACTGTCCGCATCCTGGCTGAACTCTTATGTCTGGGTTTTGAGGTGGAAAGAGGCAGCCCCATCTGGGTAGTGCTCCCCACAATGCTCACTGACGACAGGATGAGAGAGGACCCTGAGCATGCTCAGTTGCAGCCTCCGGCAAGTAAAGAATGGTTCCCCAAAGGGGAGGGGTGCTACGGCATACCTCCCCTCAGTGCCAAGATGTTCTTCAGGCCTAGCTGCTTGGCTTTGTGCAGATGGCGGGTGATCTCCTCCTGGCGCTGGCGGCAGCAGGTCATGTGCAGGATGGTCTCCAGGCCGCAGTAGTTCACTGCCGTGCTGGCAATCATCATGGAGGAGGTCTCCTTGTCTGAGCCAGGGTCCCCTGCAGGGTGCCAGGTCACATCGATGAAGAGGGGGCCACCTGTGGCCATCCGGTCAAACCTGTAGGGGGTTTCTTTCTGATGATGGGCCCCTGTCGGGGGACGCTGCCCTTCACCCTTCTGAGGGCAGGGCAGGGAGACTAAGAAAGTATACATGCAAAATCAGGTCAGCAACCATGTTCATCGCCTGGCTTCGCTGACTAGCTGTGTGATCTCAGGAAAATTCATTGAACTCTCTGAGACTTATCTGAGTTTCTTATCTAGTCCATATCAACCAGGAGAACACGGTCTGAAACGGTCCACAGCACTTAGAACCGAGCCTGGGGCACACACACACATGCCTAAGATCGCAGAGAAAACGTCATCACAGAGGTGCCACTGGTTTGTGACGTGCATGCACACCTCCCAACATGGTGAGGGTGAGAGGACTCCCCAGGGACTGGCAGTCATTTTGGGCACAGGCAGGCCAGTTCCTGAAGTAGTCTCCAAAGCCTGCGTGGGCAAGAGCATTGGCGTTCAGGGTTGTGACCATTTATTTAAATGTCCGGTGCCTTTAAACTTTGAGCAACTTGAGAGCAACACGTGAGGAGTTTGGACAGGAAAAAGCATAAGCTTTTTTAAAAGAAAAGGAACTGAAATTCACCAAGTTTGCTAACCTAACTCAGTTGGCATTTCTAGATTTTGAGAAGCATAACCCCAATTCCCAATTTGCTCAACACATTCTCTAAGCTGCTATTCGGTGACTTCCTAAACTCCCACGATCCAGCCTCAAGTTCTGCCAAGGAATGTTATGTGGGAATCAACATATTTAACCCTTACAAGTGTTTGTCTAGAGCTGGGCATCGGTGGCTTACACCTGTAATCCTAGCTACTCAGGAAGCTGAGATCTGAGGATCGAGGTTCAAAGCCAGCCCAGGCAGGAAATTCTGTGAGACTCATCTCCAATGAACCACCAAAAAACCAGAAGTGGCACTGTGATTCAAGTGGTAGAGCACTAGCCTTGAGTTGAAAAGCTGAGGGACAGCACGTAGGCCCAGAATTCAAGCCCCATGACTGACAAAAACAAAAACAAGCGTTTGTCTAGAAATATCTGGGAAGTGGTGCTGTAGCTCAAGTGATAGAGCGCTCACCTTGAGCTGAGGATCACAGTTCAAATCCAGCCCAAGCAGAAAGTCTGTGAGACACTAATCTCCAATTAAGCATCAAAAGCCTGACAGGGCTGACAGATGGTGTCCAGCTCACCCTTCTTACCATATACCAGCTCACCTTGAGATCAGGTTGACAGCTCCCTGAGCGGTTCGGGGAGGGAAGAATTCCAGGGAGAACCATTTGTCACCAGAGTCCATCCTCCGCTTCATCTTGTCCCGGAGTTTCTCGTACCGATCGGGGTCCAGGCCTGGTGTAGAACATCTTGAACTGTTTCTGGAGCTCTCGCTGCCACTGCTGCTGCTGCCCTCGGAGCGGGGGTTGGGGCCATCACTCCTGCCCACCTCATTCACCATGGCTGAGCTCCTGCTGCACAGGGTGGGGGCAGGGGGCATCAGAGAGCAGGCAGCTAAGCCCCAGGCACATCCAGACAGCTACGTAGAAGGCTCCAGCAAGGGACGCTGCGTTTAACAGGAAAAAAGCCAGTGTCGCTCACACGGCCCCGGCACAGCGGCTCCAAGCGCCACAGCTACTACGACAGCCTGCGCCAGCCTGCGCTGCCTCCTCGCAGGACAACCCCTCCCGGGCCCTGACACATGCGCCTTCCGCCCACAGATCCTCGGCGACAGCTACCTGATGCAGGGCGGCACAGAGAGCCCCATGCTGCCAGCCTGCGAGGCCCACTTTCGCAGGGAGGGGCAGCAGTGGCCAGCTGAGAGGACCCTGGCTTTCCGATGGTCCATCGCTTGCCAGCTTAGACCCAGAATGAGGATAAAACCGAGGAACCTTCTCCAGCGGGTGTGCCCAGCTGGGCGGAGCTGAAACAAAGAGCCCCAAGCTAGAGCTTAACAGCAGCACGGGGGCGGGAGCAAGGCCTCCAGGCCACAGGGAAGTAGAAGGGGGGGGGGATAGGGGGATGCGGGCGGGGCGCTGCAGCAGTGGGTGGAGATAAGGCCACTAGTCTTTCAGGGTCACCGGATCCGGCAGCAAGCTCGGCTAGGAACATCTCCTATTAGTTTGTGTGCTGTGGTGTGGTGGGTTAGAACTTAACACTGACTGGGTTTCCAGAACCAGACAGATTCAAGTTTAAGGAGAGCCTGGATTCATGCCCAACTCAGAATAAAAGCTGTCCCCTCCGAGCCTGCCCTGCAGGACTTTCCTTACATGGGCTACTGAAGTTAAAGTCATCTCAGCAATTGCAGTTACCCCAGAGGAGGCCTGCCAGGCATGGTGCAGTATGCCTGTGATACCAGCTAATCAGGAGATGGGGGCAAGATGATTCAGACTTCAAAGCCAGCCGGGGCCAAAAGGTAGCAAGACCCCTGCCTCAAACTAAAAACAAAGGCCTAGGGAGGCTGGGGAGGACATAGCCCAAGTGGTAGGCTAGAAAGTATAAAGTCCTAGATTTGACCCCTAGGACTATATTGAAAAAGAAAGAAAGAAAAAGGGCCCTGGCCATTATAACTACAGGCTGGCCAACTGGGCAAGACACCATCTGGCAGTCCGGAGAAATTAAGACAAATACTGAAAGCAAAACAACACACAGCTCTTAGTCGGATGCTGGTGACTCACCCCTGTAATCCTAGCTACTCAGGAGGCTGAGGTCTGAGGACAAAGGTTCAAAGCCTAACCAGGCAAGGAAGTCCATGAGACTCTTTTTTTTTTTTTTTTTGGGGGTCCAGTCATGGGGCCTGAACTCTGGGCCTGGGTGCTGTCCCTCAGCTCTTCAGCTCAAGGCTAGCACTCTACCACTTGAGCCACAGCACCATTTCCGGCTTTTTTCTTTTTGCTTATGTGGTGCTGAGGAATTGAACCCAGGGCCTCGGGCATGCAAGGCAAGCGCTCTACCACTGAGCCACCTTCCCAGCCCCCATGAGACTCTTATCTCTAATTAACCACCAGAAAACTGGAACTGCTGCTAGAGCACTAGCCTTGAATAGAAGAGCTCAGGGACAGCACCCAGGCTCTGAGTTCAAGCCCTGTAAACTGAACCAAACCAAACCAAAAACAACCTCTTGCACACAAGCAGGTAAACACACAGTGGTGAAAAGTCAGCATGTGGTGTAAAGATCACAACCAGGCAACACCAGCCTGGCTCATCCCCTCCAGGATCTTCTATGGGAAGATTGTGTATTTTAACATCTGGGGTCCTAGACTCTTTTGGAACCCGAGGAAACCCAGAGATCCTCTAAGACACCTGTACACCCAATACATCTGGATGCATCCCAAGTCAAACTGATTTACACTAAGAAGTTTTGTGCCAAGGCTGTCTCTCCCTAGGATGTCTGTTCAGATTCTGACCTACAGCCCCAGATTCCTGGGGGGGGGGGGGGGGAGAGGAAGGGAAAAAAGGCCCAGTAGCCAGGGCCCCCTCCTGAATTCAAGGGAATGTCACATTAGTTACCTGCTGGAACAAAACGTCCAGGACTGCAGGAGACTGAACTCCCTGCATACTAGCCTGTGCCATACTTCAAGTAACACCCACCGTTTAGCCATTTTAGGTTGGGCTGCCACAACTCCCAGGGCTGTAACCCGTGGGTTAAGAGATTTGTCTCAGCTGGGGGTCAATGACTCCTGCATGTAATCCTAGCTACTCAGGAGGCTGAGCTCAAAGCCAGTTCAAAGCCAGCCCGGGCAGGAAAGTCCGTGAGATTCTTATCTCCAATAAACCACTAGAAAACCGGAAATGGCGCTGTAGCTCAAGCAGTAGAGCGCTATCCTTGAGCTGCAGAGCTGAGGGACAGCGCCCAGGCCCAGAGTTCAAGCCCCACTACTGACCAAGCTGACTGAGCTCAGGCCCAGGTATCCTGGCTGTGTCCTGCTCTTGTCCATGTGGTAACAGTCAACTCTTCCTGAGAGCCAACAGGCCAGGCGGTGCCAAAATACCCCCCTGCCGAATACGGGTCATTGCCTCGGGCTGTGTCCAGCTCGGGGACACTAAGCCCACCACTCCCGGAAGGGTCACCGGGGTCATCAGTGTGCAGCAGGCGCTGCGGTGGCAGGCCCGGAGCCCCACTCTTCTCTGGGGGCTCGTCGGAGGGGCAGGTTTAAGATCAGGGCAGGAAGTCACCTTGGGCGCCAGGCGGCAGGAGGGAGGGGGATCCGGTCACCGGGTCATCAGGTCACCGGGTCATGAAGGGGCGGGCGCACGGGCCCAGGCCCCTTGATCCCCGGGGGCCTCGGAAAGCGAGTCTACGCCTCAGGATTGGGGACCCCTGGCGGCAGGCCCTGGGGGTTACCCTGGGCCCGCTGGGAGGCGCGGGAGGGTCCGGCTCGCAGGCGGCCGGATCGCCAGCGCTCCTCGCCCTCGGTGGGCAACCTCGGGCTCCGAAGATCCCTCCCCGGTGACCCCAAACCTCGTCGCCACTCACCCTCCCGTCCCAGGTGACTCCGAAGGCTCGCCCGCCCGCGAGCCGCACGCGGGAGGAGGCCTCGCGCGCGGGGGAGCGCGCGCGCGGCGGGGCGGGGCGGTGGTTGCCTAGGGAGGCAGGACGGGGGGCGGGGCTACCGTGCGGGCGACCGGAAGTCCCGCCTCCAGCATGGCCGCGCCCGCAGGTCCTGTGGGATGCCGTCTTCTCGTCATGTGACGCGGGCCCTCGCCCCACCCGTCGGCAGCCACTCCCGGTCTGGGTCGCCGGGCTGGAGAGGGTCACGTGGTCCTTCTGGGGCCAGTCACGTGAAGCACGCATCCTAGGGAGGAGGGGTTTGGCTGAGGGGTCCGAAGTGGCAGTAAAAAGAGGAAGATGGCGGGGTGCAGGGGATCCCCGTGCTGCTGCTGCCGGTGGTGCTGCTGTTGCGGCGAGCGCGAGACCCGCACCCCGGAGGAGCTGGTGAGGCGCGGGCGCGCCGGGCCGCGCGGGGTGGGGGGGCGGTTGCTAAGAGACGGCGAGGGGCGTTGCCGGGGGTGGGGCCGGGCGCGGCTGCGCCGGCAGGTGGCCGGGGTGGGGCCTGGCGGCCGCGGCGCGGGCTGGGGAAGCCGCCGCCCCGCTCCGCGAGCCCAGGGCCCGGAGTCGGGGGGCGAGGATCCGGGCTGGCTGCGTCCATTCTCTTTCTCTCCATCCGAAGGGAGTGAGACCGGGAACGGGCGTCTTTTCCGAAAGAGTCCTCACCGTGCTTAGTCCCTCCCCGGCTTTTCGCATCCTTTCTGGGTCACTGACAATCCAGCTTTCTCCTGCAAAGCAATCTGGGAAAACTTGAGTTGTGCTGTCCCCAGAGTTGACAGGTCCCTTCTGATTTTAGATTGGTGGTACGTCAGGTGGAACCTGCATTTTCTTCCTCTTCCTTAAGCTGGCGTTGGGCATCTTTGAACACGGAGATGAGAGTGGTTTTGTGGAGAACGTGTCAGTTTATAGAAATGCCTAGTTCTCCACCCATATCAACCCCCCCCCCCCCACACACACACAGGGTTGTTTTTGGTTTTTTGTTTTTGCTCGTGTTCCCCTCTGGTGATGGCTCCAGTTTAATTAGAAGCTAGCTAATAACATTTCAATAAATACCTCTGCATCCTTACACTCCTAACCAGTAAACAAGTCTCCCTTCTGTGGATCTGTTTTTCTAGACCATCCTTGGGGAGACACAGGAAGAGGAAGATGAGATCCTTCCAAGGAAAGACTATGAGGTGAGATCCTTAGATGCTTTCTTGGATAACTAAAGTAGTAAGTGGCCTGGTCACTTCAGACTGAAGCAGTTGATTCCAGCCAGAGTTGCTCTTTGACCTTCTATCCCTGAAAGTAAGTGATAACAGAATTTGGCCTACCCAGGATCTGTTCAATAAATACTTCTGTCATCTTAATCCCCCAAGGTTGATGAGTTTTGTTGTTTTTATTTTTGTGGATTTTTGTTCATTTGTTTGTTGCACAAGTAATGGGCTTTAAAAGAAGGGCCTGGGCTCAGCCCCTTTCTTTTTTGTCCAAGGCTGGTGCTCTTTCTCTGGTAGAATACTTCCCCCAACAAGAAAGTGGCACAGAGTACAAACTCCAGTACTGTGGAGCTAGATGGTGTTGTGACACAACATTCTAGTCGGAGTCCTCCAGAGCCTGAGATAGGAGGATCCCTTGAGTCGAGGCGTTCCAGATCAGCCTGGCCAAAGATTTCTCAAGCAAAAGAATACATGTGTGTTCAGTAAGGCTGTCAGAGGGAAACTGACTTATCATTTAATCAGTTCATGATGAAACTTCTTTTATTGGTGGCATTTTACTCTGCCTCTAGCCATCATGAGTTTTTGTTTGAATTTTGAAATGATATATACAAGCCATGATTATATAAAGAATTATTAAACTACTTATGAAAAGAAGATAGAAGCCAGGCACAGGTGGCTCATGCTTGTAATCCTAGCTACTCAGAAGGCTGAGATCTGAGGATCATGATTCAAAATCAGCCTGGACAGGAAAGTCCATGAAACTCATATCTCTGATAAACCACCAGAAAACCAGAAGTGGTGCTGTGGCTCAAGTGGTAAAGCATTAGCCTGGAGCTGAAGAGCTGAGGGACAGCTCCCAGGCCCAGAGTTCAAGTCCCATGACCGACAAAAAAGAAAATAGTGAATGACCCAGTTCTAGTCCAACTTAATAACAATACAGTGTCTATTTTGTTTTTGTTTTTGAAATAGAGTATCATTATGTAGCTTAGGCTGGCCTAAAACTCTCAATCCTCCCGCCTATGCCTCCCATCTGCTGGGATTAAAGGTATATGCTAGCATACACCTGGTGCTACAAGATTTTAAAGAATAGTATTTTATTGTGCCATAATTTATTTGATCATTCTTTAGTGTTTGTTCAACTTTTCTGAAATGAACTGCATTGTGGTGAATGTCCATTCTACCTTGTCTGTCCTCAAGTTTTTCTTTAGGGTGAATTCTGAGAAGTAGAATTCATTCTGTTTGTTTTCTATTTTTCTTTTTTTTTGTCGGTCGTGGGGCCTGAACTCTGTGCCTGGACACTGTCCCTCAGCTCTTCAGCTTAAGGCTAGCACTCTACCACTTGAGCCACAGCGCCACTTCCGGCTTTTTTCTTTTTGCTTATGTGGTGCTGAGGAATCGAACCCAGGGCCTCATGCATGCAAGGCAAGCACTCTACCACTGAGCCACCTTCCCAGCCCTGTTTGTTTTCTTAATATCTCAATTTTTGCTAGGCACTGGTGGCTCATGCCTGTAATCCTAGCTAGAATCTGAGGATTGCAGTTCAAAGCCAGTCCCAACAGCAAAGGCTGGGATGCTCTTATCTCCAATTAACCACCAGAAAACCGGAAGTGGTGCTGTGGCTCAAAGTGGTAGAGTGCTATCCTTGAGCAAAAAAGCTCAGGGACAGCACCCAGGCCCTGGAGTTCAAGCCCCATGACCTGTAAAAAAAATTTTTAAAAATTCTTTTGGTGCCAGTCCTAGGCCTTGAACTCAAGGCCCGTGTGCTGTCTCTGAGCTCTTTTTGCTCAAAGCTAGTGCACTACTAATCTAGCCATAGTGCCACTTCCAGCTTTTTGATGATTAATTGGAGATAAAAGTCTCAACTAGATTTTCCCTGGCTTTGAACCACAATCCTCAGATCTCAGCTTCCTAAATAGCTGAGACTACAGGCATAAATCACTGGCGCCTGGGTTTCACCTTCCTTTTGCTGTAGAATTTTGGATTTGTAGCATACCATAGAATTTTTAAACTTTTTAATCATGAAGAACTTCAGATAGGTACACCAAATGGACAGAATGATATAGAGCCCTCCTGTTCTATAGCTTTAGCAGCCTTTATGCCTGTAGAAATGATTTTACCTGTTTTTTTTTTTTTTTGGTCAGTCATGGATTTTGAACTCTGGGCCTGGGCACTGTCCCTCAGCTCTGCAGCTCAAGGCGAGTGCTCTACGACTTGAGCCACAGCGCCATTTCCGGTTTTCTGGTGGCTTATAGGAGATAAGAGTCTCACAGACTTTCCTGCCCAGGCTGGCTCTGAACCTTGATCCTCAGATCTCAGCCTCCCGAGTAGCTAGGATTAAAGGAGTGAGCCACCTGTGCCTGGCTTAAAACAAGTGCTAGCTGGGCATCTGTGGCTCACACCTGTAATCCTAGCTATTCAGGAGGCTGAGATCTGAGGATCAAGGTTCAAAGCCAGCCTGGGCAGGAAAGTCTGTGAGACTCTGAACACCAATGAACTATTCAAAGAAGATGGAAATGGCGCTGTGGCTTAAGTTGTAGAACACTAGTCTTGAGCTGAAGAGCTGAGGGACAGGGCCCAGGCCCAGAGTTCAAACCCCATGACCAAAAAATAAAAGCATTTGTCTTTTTTATTTTGTTTTGTTCCTGGTATTAGGCCTTGAACTCAGGGCCTCACACTCCTTTTCTTGACTTTTCTCGTCATGGTTGGTGCTCTACTGCTTAAATCAAGCCTCCAGTTTGAGCTTTTTGCTGGTTAATTGGAGATAAGTCTCTTGGATTTGTCTGCTTAGGATGGCTTGTCTGCTTGTGCTGGCTTTAAACCTGGATCTTCAGCTCTAAGCCTCTAGAACAGCTAGGATTTCAGGTCTGAGCCACCAGGTGCCTGACCCCATATTTCTTTGTTTGTTTTTTGTTCTTGGGTCCAGTCGTGGGGCCTGAACTCTGGGCCTGGGCGCTGTCTCTCAGCTCTTCAGCTCAAAGCTAGTGCTCTACCACTTGAGCCACAGCACCACTTCCGGCTTTTTTCTTTTTGCTTATGTGGTGCTGAGGAATCGAACCCAGTGCCTCATGCATGCAAGGCAAGCGCTCTACCACTGAGCCACCTTCCCAGCCCCCGACCCCATATTTCTTAAGTGTGTAGTTGCTTGTATAGAGTTGAGATGTTCACAGGAAATTAGTATAAAGTACTTTTTGTTGCACAATATTCCTCTACCCTCAGTTGGGCCCTGTCAGTCATCCTGAGTGTGCTACCAAGACTGACTGCCAGATGTCTGAAGCCTTCTTCCCACTTCCGGTTGCTCACCAAGGCTTTTCCAAAGCCCTTACCCCCTCCCACCACATAACACTGCGTTTGCAGTGCACTTACCTTAGGCTGACATGCATATTGATGTAAATATCATGGATGAATGTCCTTTGATTTGAGTTGTTAATATTTTCCAATTAACCTTCTTTGCCTGAGAGCTTCTCCAGAGCATTTGCTTTGTATAAGAGCCCATTAGAGAATTCTGCTCAGATTTTCTTTGGTGTCAACTAGAAAATCCTCTGTTAAGTCAGGAGGGTGAGATCAGCCCCTCTGGTTTAGAAAGATCCTGGAGACTGATTAACCCGTAGCAAAGTTGGACACACACACACACACACACACACACACACGAAAACACACACACACACACACGAAAACCCTCTGTTGAAAGAATAGCTATACTCCCCCTTTCTGGAGGTAGAGATAAGTTCAAGGCCAGCCTAAGGGTGAAAGGGAGATTTAACCTCCACCCTCTTAAGAAAGGAAGACTTCTGTGGGAATTCTCCAAACTCCCCTACTCTGGGATTTGGAGTACATTTGGCAGTAGACCTTTCTTTGATAAGATGGGTGTTACCTGAGGTTAGAGACCTTACCTTGACTAACTTTGTCTTGGGTGGTTCCAGTTGAAATGTCCCCATCCTGTCACTCAGGCTGGTAGGAAAGGTAAAGTCTGTGCAGCTCCCAGAGCCTGAAATTGCTCTTATGACTTAGAAAAAGACTCCCCCTAGGGCAGAAGACTTAGACTTGAAGCCCTCCCCCTCAGCCCTAGCTCACCGTCCCCTGAGGGGCTTCTTGTTTGAACACTGAGGTGCCTTTTTTTGGTGGAAATTGGGCTGCCTTCTAACCACAAGTGGCCCTGGCCAGGAACTAATTTGCCCACAATCAGGAGCAGCAGCCCTGCAGGATATCCGAAGATTTTTTTTTGTTTTATTTTGGGTCTGGTCGTGGGGCCTGAACTCTGGGCCTGGGTGCTGTCCCTCAGCTCTTCAGCTCAAGGCTAGCGCTCTACCACTTGAGCCACAGCGCCACTTCTGGCTTTTTTCTCTTTGCTTATATGGTGCTGAGGAATCAAACCCAGGGCCTCAGGCATGCAAGGCGAGCGCTCTACCACTGAGCCACCTTCCCAGCCCTAGATGAAGATTTTATGTAAAAGAAGAAAAGTTGTTTGTTTCCACAAGCTAAAAGGCAACACATGTAGCAAAAGTTAGAGCAGTTGAGAGGCGCAGTCTGTTCAGCCCTGTGCTGACCAGATTGCATGGTGTCTTGTTAACTATTTGCAGTGCCATGCCCCGCCAAAAACAAACTCTGCTGTTCTGGTCTTGTACTTGTTTCTAACTGCCCTTCTAGGAGCTTGACTAAGCTATAATGCACATGGTGAATTGTAGAACACAATTCATCCACTTAGGGTTTCTAATAATATAGTCAGAGATTTGTGCAAACTATGAGCAATCAGGTTTATTTATTTATACATTTTGGTTGGTCCTGGGGCTTGAGCTCTAGGCTTGGGCACTGTCCCTGGGCTCTTCAGCTCAAGGCTAATGCTCAACCACTTGAGCTATAGCACCACTTCTGTCTTTCTGGTGATTGGTTGGAGATAAGAGTCTTTTCTTGCCTGGGCTGACTTTGAACCACAATCCTCAGATCTCAGCTTCTTGAGTAGCTAGGACTACAGGCGTGAGCCACTGGTGCCTGGCAAGTTTGGGGCTTGAACTCAGGGCCCTGCACTTGCTTAGCAGACACTCTACCACTTCAGCGATACCTCCAGCTAATTTTGCTGGTTAGTTTGGAGATGGAGTCTTGAGGACTTTTCTTCCCTGGCTTGCCTCCTACCTAGATTCTCTGGATCTTAACCTGCTGTGCATCTAGAATTACAGGCTTGAGCCATCAGTACCAGGGTGAGCAGTCAGTTTTAGAACATTTGTATTACTCCAGAAAGAGACCCTTGTAGCCAGCACTTGGTCACTGTTCATTCCCCTTGCCCTGTCTCTATGCAACCACTAATCCTACCTTTTATCTCTATGGATTTGCCCACTCTAGACACCTAAAAGCCTTTTAACTATTAATGGAATGTTTGTTTAGAGCAAAAGACTCCCTATTCCCCTCCTGCCAGGTTTGATGATTAAGTCTAAGAATGAGCCCACTCTGACATATTAATGAGATGCTAGGTGATAAGACGGACACCAGTTATGTGCCCGGATGTAGCGGGAGAGTGAGCACCTCACCCAGTGAGATTTCGAAGCTGACACGCCCTCTTCTAGAGAAAAGGATAGAGACAGAGACAACTCCAGAGGAGAGATGGTGATTCGTTTCTAGGAGCAGCGAACGAGCCGAGAACGGATGGGAGCCTGGGCTGAGTTTGGGCTCTGTGTGCAGTGCACACTCCAGTCATCGTCCTGCCGCGGGCCCCCCTGTCCTGCAGTCTCCCTGTTGATGGGAAGCTGGAGTCAGTTCCAGCAGACTCACATGGAGGACCTGTCATGATCTGTATTTGCTGCTTGCGTCCCAGGTGCCTCTCTGGGCTCTGAAGTCTGAAGAGACACATTTTGGGGTGTTTTCTGAGCCCCCACAGTAGCATCATTAGACAAGACCATCAAGAAAATAATCAGTTGGCCAGTAATTTCTATATAGATTTGGTGTGAAGGCAAGACCCCACACTTGGCTGACACCAGATGTGGAGTGCTTTCCCCACACCACTCCTCAGTTCCAAGGGACCCCAGCTGGGTGTCCTCTGTTCTGACACTACCCAGAAGTGCACTAAGCAACCCCAGGTTGTTAGGCCCCCAAGACTAATGGAAATTACGAGTGGGTTCTTCCATGCCTCCTGCCTGAGGGTGACTGATTGGTTTTAGCTGACTTCCCAGGATTCAGATGACAGTCCTGCCCCATGGAAAGGCACAGCATGTGTGAAAGTGTGGAGTATCCATGTCCTCTCTCTGGGGGTGCCACCCTCCCAGCATCCCCCTGTGTTCAGCTGTCAGGAAGCTCTTCATTCAGACCCAGGCATCATTGTTTAGGCATGATTTTTTTTTTTTGGTCGGTCATGGGGCTTGAACTCTGGGCTTGGGCACTGTCATTGCACTCTTCAGCTCAAGGTGAGTGCTCTACCACTTGAGCCACAGTATCACTTCCTGTTTTCTAGTGGTTTTTTGGAGATAAGAGTCTCACGGACTTTCCTGCCCGGGCTGGTTTTGAACTGAGATTCTCAGATCTCAGCCTCCTGAGTAGCCAGGATTACAGGTGTGAGCTACCATCGCCCGGCTAGGCATGATTTTTTTGTTGTTACATCCTTGGCCATTGGAGATCCATGTAACCGTGGGCCCCTCACGCTTCCCTTGGGTTAGAGGTTGTGGATGAAAGTTCTAATCTCCCTTTTATTTTGCTTTGTGTGTGTGAACCAGTCCTGGGGCTTGAACTCAGAGCCTAAGCACTGTCCCTGAACTTCTTTTGCTCCAGGCTAGCATCCTAGCACTTGAGTCACAGCTCCACTTACTACTTTTTTGGTAGGTTATTGGAGATAATAGTCTGTTCGCATGGACTTTCCTGCCTAGGCTGGACTTGAATCAGGACCCATAGTTCTCAGCCTCCTGAGTAGCTAGGATTATAGGCATGAGCCACCAGTTCCCTGAGAATAAAAGGTAATTATTAAAGACTGTGCTGTAAGTACAGTTTCTGTGTTATACATCTGACATACGAATCCTAATTATATTTAATCAGAATGGGATTTTGTTATACATTGTTTGGTCTGGCTTTTTTGTTTGATAAATTGAGAACATTTTCCGTATCTGTCTGTCTAGATTTATTGTAATTATTTTATTGCTAGTTAAATATTTCATCATTAACTTTGCTTATCACCTGTACTGATACTTGAGGACTCTTATCAAGGATTAATTTGGATTTGCTCCTAGTCATCATATAGATGTGCCAAAGTGTCATAAATCACAGCTCTGTTTGTTTGACTTAGACCATTACCTGAGACCATCACCAGGCCAATGTCCAGCTTGTTCACTAGTGACGTGGCAGTAAGAGCTGCCTGTGGGAAGGAGAGAGCATGTGGCAGGCCACCTGTCCTTGTTGACACGCTGCTGTTCTCTTACAAGACACAGAAACACAAACATTCCCTTGAATGATTTCTCAGAGTATCTATGGTCCCCTGCAGATGGCTTGCAGGATGTCTGAGTTCTGTGAAACCTGGCTTGAAGCAGCTGTAGAAGTTGTAGGGTCAATCTAGACTTCCAAATGTAAACCCAAAGTTTACAGCTGCTGGGTGCTGGTAGTTCACGCCTGTAATCCTAGCTACTCTGGAAACTGAGCTCTGAGGATCGTGGTTCAAAGCCAGGCCCTGAGTTCAAGCTCCAAGTCCCACAAAAAAATGAATAAATAAATAAAATTAAAAATTAAAAACTAGGGCTGGGGGCTGGGAAGGTGGCTCAGTGGTAGAGCGCTTGCCTTGCATGCATGAGGCCCTGGGTTCGATTCCTCAGCACCACATAAGCAAAAAGAAAAAAGCCGGAAGTGGTGCTGTGGCTCAAGTGGTAGAGAGCTAGCCTTGAGCTAAAGAGCTGAGGGACAGCGCCCAGGCCCAGAGTTCAGGCCCACGACCAGACCCCCCCCCCAAAAAAAAAAAAGAAAAAGGCAGAAGTGGCACTGTGGCTCAAGTGGTAGAGCACTAGCCATGAGCTGAAGAGCTGAAGGACAGCACCCAGACCCAGAGTTCAAGCCCCACAACTGACAAAAAAAAAAAATTGTAGGGGCTGGGAAGGTAGCTCAGTGGTAGAGTGCATGCCTTGCAAGCATGAGGCCCTGGGTTCGATTCCTCAGCACCACATAAACAGAAAAAGCCAGAAGTGGTACTGTGGCTCCAGTGGTAGAGCACTAGCCTTGAGCTGAAGAGCTGAGGGACAGCGCCCAGACCCAGAGTTCAGGCCCCATGACCGGCAAAAAAACAAAAAACCAAAAAAATTGTGCATTTGTACCACAGTGGCCCCTGCAGTGGTGCCAGGCTGGTCCCCTGTTTGGTTTGGCTCATTCTTCCTCCATGAGGTGACGCTTCTCCCATGTCCTCTTTCAGAGTCTGGACTACGACCGCTGTATCAACGACCCTTACCTGGAGGTGCTGGAGACTATGGATAACAAGGTGGGGTCCAGCGAGCCGACCTGGGGACCGGGGGGGGGGGGGGGGGGGGCCAGCCCCTTCCCTTGTCTCACATGCACAGCCTTACCTCGGACTCGAGATTAGCGTTTCCCCAAACCTCTCTGCCCACCAGGGTGCCCACTGTCAGAGCTCCTGGCCCAGTGCCCTGGGTTCCTTGTCTTTCATTGTGAATCACCTGCGGGCAGGCATCGTCCTCACCCTGCATACGGGAGTCTGACCACGAGCGCTTTGTGTGTGTGTTTCTTCCCTGTGTGAACAGAAGGGGCGCAGGTACGAGGCGGTGAAGTGGATGACGGTGTTCGCCATTGGAGTCTGCACCGGTCTGGTGAGCAGAGGGACGTGGGGAGAGGGTGAGCTGAGGTCGGGGGACAGGGAAGGGCCTGGTCTGGACAATGATTGGTCACTCATCACTATAGTACTCTAGCAGCGTTGCCATAACTAACACTGCCTTTTCTTCTTTCCTTATTCTTTTAAAGTAAGTAATCTTGCCCTTTCTTTTCTTTTAGAAGTTTAATTTAAAAAATTTCTTTGGTAATGTTACTAGGGATTAAACTCAGGGCCTGGAATTTGTTAAGTTAGCACTCTGCACTTGAGCCACACCCCCAGCCCTGACCCAGCGTTTCATACTGCTTTTCAGCTTTTTTGCCTTTGCTTTGTGAAAGGAAAGTGACTTACTCAACTCTGGGCTCTTTCAATGCCTAATGTTCTGCTCCAAACTCACCTCTTACCATATGTTTAAGCTGGGTATGGTAGCTTATGACTGTAATTCTGGCTACTCAGGAGGCTGAGATCAGGAGGATCATAGTTCCAAGCCAGCCTGGAAAAAAGCTCATAAGACCCCGTCTCAACCAATAAGAAGATGGATGTGATGGAGCTTGCCTGCCTTCCCAACTATGTGAGAAGCATAAGTAGGAGGCTTATAGTCCTGGGTAGAAAGTAAGACCCTATTCAAAAAATAACAAGAGCAGGTCTGGGAAGGTGGCTTAGTGGTAGAGTGCTTGCCTAGCATGCATGAAACCTTGGGTTCAATTCCTCAGTAATACATAAACAGAAAAGGCCAGAAGAGTCACTTTGGCTCAAGTGGTAGAGGGCTAGCCTTGAGGAAAAGAAGCTCAGGCCCCAAGTTCAAGCCCCAGGGTTGGTAAAAGAGAAAGAAAAGTAACAAAAGCAAAATAGGGCTCAGGTTATAGAATGCCTGCCTAGCAAGCACAAGATCCCGAGTTCCTCAGTATTGAAAGAAAAAAATGCATAATGTACCAGTAAAGTGAGACAGCATATCTGTCCAGTAGATAACCTAATAAGTAGATTATCCTGCAAATGAAGTCACGCTGTCCTGGTCCCTTCCTGCTCCTTGATAACCTGTCTGTGAAGCTATGGTGGGGCCAAGGGTGAGCCAGCATGTCCAGGGCTCCCACAGGCTCACAGTTGAACCACAGACAGGGAAAACTGAAGTGTGACCAAAGGCGGTGGTAGCAAAAGGTCTGGGAGCATCACTGCAGCCTGAACAACTTCTTAACCCTGAAGAGAGATGTGGACAAAGCCGTGATCAAATGGGTCACTGGGAGCCCATCAGCTCAGGACTGGAAAGGGACAGCTGCCTGCCCGAGCTGCAGTCTGTGTAGCACCTTCCTCTAGGACCGGCCACAATCTGGTCCTTAATCTCCATGATATGCCTTGTGTGTCTAGGCGTAAACAGGTAATACAGGACTACCCCAAGGGTCTACCCAAGGGTCCATCTTCATGGCACACATCAGGCTCCTACTCTGTAAGTTCACAGGTTACTTCTACTGGGTGAGATTAAGGAGATTCAAAAGGTGTCTTTGCTGACATTCTGCCAGCACCATTCTGCGGGGGACGAGGCTGGGTTGGTCTAAATTGTTTTGTCAAAATCTGTACATCCAAGCTGGGATGTAGCTAGGGAGTAAGCACTTGCCCAGAACGCACAAGGTCCTAGGTTCCATTTCCAGCACTGCAAAACAAAACCCAAAACACCCTAAAAATGGAAGTGGCTATTTTTCTGTGCATGTTTCTTGTTGCAAATTTCTCTGTAAGGGCTGTAGTCACTAGCTCAGCTGCCTTTCTGGGGCTGTCACACCAGCTCGTTAGAACTGCTGTTACTTGTGTTGACAATGTGTCTCCCCATCCTATCCTCAAAGCTAGAAGGCAGACCTTTATATGGAGCAGCCAGCAGCCTCACCTACTACTCTTACCTTTGATCTGCCACCACATCAGCTTTAGCTACCGACTCTTTTGCGGGTGGGTGGGGGGAGTGGGGTCAGTTGTGGAGCTTGAACTCTGTGCCTGGGCACTGCCTCTCAGCTCTTGAGCCACAGCACCACTTCTGGTTTTTTGGTGGGTTATTGGAGATAAACATCTCACAAGACTGGGAATGTGACCTGGGGCTGGAAATGTGGCCTAGTGGTAGAGTGCTTGCCTAGCATGCATGAAGCCCTGGGTTCGATTCCTTAGTACCACATACATAGGAAAGCCAAAAGTGATGCTGTGGTTCAAGCGGTCTTGAACAAAATGAAGCTCAGTGACAGTGCCCAGGCCCTGAGTTCAAGCCACAGGACTGGCAAAAAAAAAAAAAAAGTCTATGGACTTTCCTGCCTGGGCTGGCTTTGAGCCATTATTCGTAGATCTCAGCCTCCTGAATAGCTAGGATTAAAGGTGTGAGCCACCGGCACAGGCCGGAGTCTTAACTTTGATCTGCCACTACCTCCTCCTTCTGTGTTAAAAAGCCTCCCAGTGGATTAGCACTGGGAGGTACCAGTGGAAGAGTGGAATGGAAGCTGTTTCCCCTGCACAGAGGAACTGTGTGATGGTTCTAAATCACAGAAATGACATGGAAAATACAAAACACTAACCCTGAACATGCAACCACTCATGCCTCAGTAAGTGTACTTCCTTTTCAATGTAATTTTGTTTTGTGCTGGCACTAGGGCTTGGCGTCAGAGCCTGGGCACTAATCCCTTAGCTCATTCACTCAGTGCTGGCACTCTGTCACTTGAGCCATGACTCCACTTCTGTCTTTTTGGTGGTTAATTGGAGGGAAGAGTTTCACAGACTTTCTCCCTAGGCTGGCTGGGACTGCGATCCTCAGATCTCAGCCTCCTGAGTTGCTAGGATTACAGCGTGAGCCGCCGGTGCCCTACACTCTTGTATACTAAGCTATGTGCTCACATAGCTAAGCGCCACTAGGGACATTTCAGCTGTTCTTTTGGAACCATCTTTGCAAATTTCCCAGTGGTTTCCCCCACAACTCAGTGTTACTGCCGCTTCACTATCTTTCTCTGCGTTCTTTCCTCTCTTTTTCTCTTTGCTTCACTGTACCTCGCTGTGCCCCTGCTCTTGTGTAGTAGAGGGCCTTGTGGGGCCAGGCTGTGGCAGGATCTTGTGAAAGCCAGAGTGGCTTCACAGAAAGTTCATCCACCCATGAGTTGCTGGTGGTCACTTAAGCAGCCCCTGGGCTAAGGCACCACGTTCAAGGATGTGGGCTCAGGGCTGCGCTCGGATGAGGCTGTGACTGCTCTTTGCTCTTTGCTTGTTGCAGGTGGGTCTCTTTGTAGACTTTTTTGTGCGACTCTTCACCCAGCTCAAGTTCGGAGTTGTCCAGACATGTATCCTTTTCATAGTTCCTGGTGTTCCTGAGCCCTGGAAGTTGGGGAGATTCTTCCTAATTAACCACTCAGCTTTAATTATCAGGGAAGGACAAGGGAAGAAGATTTTCATAGATGCATTCATGTTCATGGAGGCTACAACACAGCACCGATGTGTCTTCTTCCTATCAGTTTATAAATTCAGTACTGCAATCAGAATTGCAGAGTAGAATTTATCTTGGAACTCAGAACTGCTTGTTCTTAACAATATAAAATGTATTCATTATAAAGGGAAAAAAGCAAATAGCTGGGTGTAGGTGGCTCACACTTGTAATCCTAGCTACTCAGGAGGCTGAGATCTGAGGATTGCAGTTCAAAGCCAGCCCAGGCAGGAAAGTCTGTGAGACTCTTATCTCCAATTAACCACCAGAAAACCAGAAGTGGTGCTGTGGCTTAAGCTGTAGAGTGCTTGCCTTGAGCTGAAGAGCTCAGCGACAGTGCCCAGGCCCAAGTTCAAGCCCCATGACTGACCAAAAAAAAAGCAAACAAACTTGACTATATCAAAGTAAATACTCCACTTATAAAGGCAACCAAAAACCCAAGTAACCACAGAGAAACAACATAGATAATATGAAAACAATTCCCCAGCCTGGAAGAAGGTTGTGTGTGTGTGTGTACCCACGCACACTTGCCATCAGTGCCTGGCTTTGTTTTTTATGTATTCAACAGGCAAATAATTATTATCCAAAATGTAATATGAACTCATGCCTACAACAACAGCAACATCATAAAAATCAATACTATAAGCTGGATGCCTGTGGCTTATCCCTGTAATTTTTGCTGCTCAAGAGGCTGACATCTGAGGGTTGTGGTTCAAAGCTAGCCAGGGCAGAAAAGTCTGTGAGACTTTTATCTCCAATAACTACCAGAAAACTGGAAGTAGCACTGTGACTCAAAGTGGTAGAGCACTATCCTTGAGCAAAAAAGCCGGGAACAGCACCTAGGCCCTGAGTTCAAGCCCCATGACCAACAACAACAACAAAAATTAACACTAGGTGCTGGGAAGGTGGCTCAGTAATAGAGTGCTTGCCTTGCTTACATGAGGCCCTGGGTTCTGTTCCTCAGTACCACATAAGCAGAAAAAGCCAAAGTGGTGCTATGGCTCAAGTGGTTGAGCACTAGTCTTGAGCTGCAGAGCTGAGGGGCAGTGCCCAGGCCCAGAGTTCAGGCCCCACAACCGACACACATACACAAAATAAACACTATCATAATAAATAAAAACTTAAAACGGTACAGTAGGAAAATGAGCACAGCAGGTGTTAGTGCCTCATGCCTATAATCCTGGCTACCCCCAAGGCTGAGATCTGGAAGATTGCTATTCACGGCCAGACCCAGCAGAAAAGTCTATGAGACTCCTCCAAAATAACTAGCAAAAATCCAGGCTAAAGGTGGGGCTTGAGTGACAGGGAGCCAGCCAAGGAAACAAGCTGAGCAGGCAAGAAAGTGAGAGGCCCTGACTTCAAACCTTAATATCAACCCGAAAAAAAGAAAAGAAAAGCAGAGACCTTGTATGGAAGTGGAGAGGAGGGTACAGAATGGCTGATGTGCAGGGAGGCCTCAGGAGGGTGCACATTCATCTGACTTGTGGATTCTTGCAGAAGTGGGCCCTGCGCATGCCAGAACTGTTGTTTGAGGCTTTGTGGCAACAGAAAGTTGAAATGATGAAGTTGGAGAATGGGAAAATTATGGTGTGTTCATACTCCGTAATTCTGTAGAGGTTAAAATAAATGAGGCAGAGCTGTGGCTTATCAGCATGGTGACTCATGTCAAGGAAGAGGAAAAGAACAAGTCTGAGGATTACATATGAGCAGTATGGACACACACATGGAGGCACACAGTCATTGAGGGAGTGGAGTATGACTTTTTTGGTGTGTGTGTGTGTGTGTGTGTGTGTGTGTGTGTGTGTGTGTGTGTGTGTGTGTGTGTGTGTGTGTGTGTGTGTGTGTGTGTGTGTGTGTGTGTGTGTGTGTGTGTGTGTGTGTGTGTGTGTGTGTGTGTGTGTGTGTGTGTTCAGGCTTTTTTTTTGCCAGTCCTGGGGCTTGAACTCAGGGCCTGGGCACTGTCCCTGAGCTTCTTTGGCTCAAGGCTAGCACTCTACCACTTGAGCCACAGCGCCACTTCGGGCTTTTTCTATGTATGTCGTACTGAGGAATCAAACCCAGGGCTTCATGCATGCTAGGCAAGCACTCTGCCACTAAGCCATATTCGTAGCCCTTTTTGTTTTTTTTGTTTTTGTTTTTTTGCTGGTTTTAGGGCTTAAACTCAGGGCCTGGGCACTATCCCTGAGCTTTTTCATTAAAGACTAGCACTCTACCACTTTGAGCCACAGCTCCACTTCCAGCCTTTTTGGTGGTTAATTGGAGATAAGAGTCCCATGGACTTTCCTGCCTGGGCTGGCTTTGAACTGCAATTCTCGGATCTCAGTCTCCTGAGTAGCTAGGTTAAGTATGTTTAAAAAATAAAATCTAGGGTTGAATGGGGGCTGGGGGGGGAGGATGGGATGGGAAGGGGAAACAAAGAAGGAGGCTACAATGCTTGATAAGAAATGTACTCATTATCTTGCTCATGTAATTGTAACCCCTCTGTACAGTATTTTCACACACAAAAAAAATCTGGAGCATGCAGGCATGATGTTGAAGTTTGTTAAGCCCATATTGTACCCGTGTTCTTCATTATTACTTGCTATGGTGTTTGTGGTGTTCCATAATTTTGAAGTGGTTCTTCCTATAAGCAGCATCTTTGGCACCTTTTCAGCACATTTATGACTGGAGGCCTGGACCTAGGGGAAGGGCAGCCACACGGCTCCCAGCCATTGGGGTGCACATACTTGAGAACTGTGTTTCCTTGACCCAGCTTCCGCAGCCGTGGAAGAATGTAGCCAGAAAGGCTGCCTCGCCCTGTCCCTCCTCGAACTCCTGGGTTTTAACTTGACCTTTGTCTTCTTGGCAAGCCTTCTTGTCCTGATTGAGGTGAGGAGGGCTTGCTGCTTGCTGGTGAGGTTCTAGGGTTCTGCACTTAGGCTCTCCCAATGTCAGGAAACAGTGGGTTCTACAGACATGGCCCCTTGTTCACTCAGACATGTATTTGGAAGTAAAAATTGTAAACCCTGCTGAGGTTTAAGATTGGGGTGGTGCCTGGCACTGGTGAATCACACCTGTAATCCTAGCTACTCAGGAGGTTGAGATCTGAGGATCATGGTTCTAAGCCAGCCTGGGCAGGAAAGTCCATGAGCCCCTTTTTTTTTTTTTTTTTTGTCGGTCATGGGGCTTGAACTCTGGGCCTGGGCGCTGTCCCTCAGCTCTTCAGCTCAAGGCGAACGCTCTACCACTTGAGATACAGCGCCACTTGCGGTTTTCTGGTGGTTTATTGGAGATAGGAGTCTCTCCTGCCCGGGCTGGCTTTGAACCGCGATCCTCAGATCTCAGCCTCCTGAGTAGCTAGGATTACAGGCGTGACCACCAGCGCCCGGCCCAAGTCCATGAGACTCTTATCTCCAATGAACCACCAGAAAACCGGAAGTGGTGCTGTGGCTCAAGTGGTAGAGTGCTCACCTTGAGTTGAAGAGCTGAGGAACAGCGCCCAGGCCCAGAGTTCAAGCCCATGACCAACCAAAAAAAAAAAAAAAGGGCTTAAGTCAGGACTGGAATCTGGCTTAGCAGTACAGCACCTGCCTAGCAAGTAGGAGCACCCCTATTTCCCATTCAAATCCCAGCACCACCAGAAGCAAATAAGATGAGAGTCTGTGGAGGTGGGTGCCATGGGGATGATCAGAATGCTCCCAGGTGATGCCAGGCTGCCAGACTCACCTGGGAAATGTCAGAAGTGCACCTGTTCCCATCCCCCTGTGACCCACCGTGATCTGTGGTTGAAAAGTCCTCAGGTGAGGGGAAGCCAGTGCGGCAAGTGAAGGTGGTGGGCTCTCCCTGCAGAGCCGTCCAGCCCCTTGAGGGTAAAGTGAAGAACTGCTGGCATGTGAATTGACACTGTGCCCCCTGTCCCCGCAGCCAGTGGCAGCAGGTTCGGGAATACCTGAGATCAAGTGCTACCTGAATGGCGTGAAGGTGCCAGGAATTGTCCGGCTCCGGACCCTGCTCTGCAAAGTCCTGGGAGTGCTGTTCAGTGTGGCTGGAGGTGAGTGAATCTTTCTCCTCTTACTCCCGCATGGTCCAGGGGGAGGAAGGTAGGGCATTTTGTGTGTAAGCTGATTCCATTTGGCCAGCCCAAAGCAGATGTCCACACTTTGGTGCGATAGGATTTTTGTTTTGTTGGTTGTAGGGCTTGAACCTAGGGCCTGGGCACTGTCCCTGAGCCTTTTTGCTCAAGGCTAGCGGTCTACCACTTTGAGCTACATGCTCCACTTCCTGTTTTCAGGTGTCTTAATTGTAGATAGGAATCTTATGGACTTGCCTGCATGGGCTGGCTTTGAACTGTGATCCTCAAATGTCAGCCTCCTGAATGACTAGGTGTGAGCCACTGGCACCTGGCTGGCCTATATATAGTTCTTAAATGCAGACACTGTCAGTGTGTTGCTATTGGACATACCTGAACTAGAATGACCATCTAGTTTGCACTCTTGGTTCTTAGCAAAGTCTGCCAGCTTTTTTTTTTTTTTTTTGTCGGTCGTGGGGGCTTGAACTCTGGGCCTGGGCGCTGTCCCTCAGCTCTTCAGCTCAAGGCGAGCGCTCTACCACTTGAGCTACAGCGCCACTTCCGGTTTTCTGGTGGTTTATTGGAGATAGGAGTCTCACGGTCTCTCCTGCCCGGGCTGGCTTTGAACCACGATCCTCAGATCTCAGCCTCCTGAGTAGCTAGGATTACAGGCGTGAGCCACCAGCGCCCGGCTCTGCCAGCTTTTTGTTCAAACAGACAGCTGGTAAATAATTTAGGCCTGGGGCAACAGGCCAAATTGAAGGAATAAATGGTTCAGTAAGACCTGAACCTTTTTTTGTTGTTGTTGGTCGTGGGGCTTGAACTCTGGGCCTGGGCTCTATCCTTCAGCTCTTCAGCTCAAGGCTAGCGCTCTACCACTTGAGCCACAGCGCCAGTCCAGCGTTTTCTGTTTATATGATGCTGAGGAATCAAACCCAGGGACTCATACATGCGAGGCAAGCACTTTACCACCAAGCCACCTTCCCAGCCCCAAGATCTGAACCATTTTAAGATGTATGGATTGAAGATCATAAGAAGCCAGGTGACAAGGACTTATGCCTATAATCCTAGCTACTCAGTAGGCTGAGATCTGAGGATCACAGTTTGAAGTCAATCTGTGCAGAAAAATCTGTGAAACTCTTACCTCAACCACCAAACAGCCAGGAGTAGAGCTGTGGCTCAAGTGGTAGAGTGCTAATTTTGAGCACAAAAGCTCAGGGAACTGAGTTCAAGCCCTGGAGTGGCACATACATCTACACAGATGTACACACATACGTGTGGGAGCCATTCTCAGCTCTCAGACTAAAGAGACAGGCATGGAGTAGCTGTGACCCCGGCTATGCTTTGCTGGCCTGGAATTTCAAGAATAAAGAGTATTTTCTCTCATAGCAAGATTTAAAGGGAGTTTGGCATTGTCTTAGAAAGTCATCTGCTCATCTGTTTTGTAATTGTGTTGTAAAGCAAGGGTCTCCTGAGCCACAGGTGCTCAGTGCTGACTGCTTCTCTCTCACTTTCCCAGGGCTCTTTGTGGGGAAGGAGGGCCCCATGATCCACAGCGGAGCCGTGGTGGGAGCTGGCCTTCCTCAGGTAAGGGCTGCCAGGGCAAGTCTATCAGGAGCTGCCCAGTGTGACTTCACCCCATGGATGTCACTTGGGGTGCCCACAGAAACGGGTGTCAAAGCCCTGCCGAGTCCTAGGAGGGAAAAAAACCTGTGACATAAAGAAATGAAAACCAGGCACTGCTGGCTCACACCTGTAATCCTATCTACTCAGGAGGCTGAGATCTGAGGATCACGATTCAAAGCCAGCCTGGGCAGGAAAATCCATGAGACTCTTATCTCCAGTTAACCACTAGAAAAATGGAAGTGGTGCTGTGGCTCAAGTAGTAGAGCACTGGCCTTGAGCTGAAGAGCTTAGGGACAACACCCAGGCCCAGAGTTCAAGCCCCACAACCAACAAAAAAAGAAATGAAAGCCTTCCTGGCGGCTTGGTGGGTCATCTCCACAGTGCCACTGACCGGGAGGCAGGAGCTGCAGAGGTCTAGGACTTGCTGGAGACTCATTGCACCTGATGTAGTGCCTGCACAGTAACAGCTGCCCTCCGTGTGCTCCCAGTGTGCTGCCACATCCTGTGCAGATCAGCCCCTCTCCTCACAGCCACCCATTCTCAGGCATGGAAACTCGGGCTCAGACAGGTTGAAGAACCTGCTTGGGGCTTCAAAGCTTCCATTCAGAAAGGCTTTTCTAGGTTTTGGAGCTACAAGTTCAGTCAAGTCCATGTGAACTGTTAACTGTGGTCGTGAGTTGTTGAGGTGCAGAAAAGAAGGTTCTTCCAGGGGAAATCTCTCAACTCTCTCAATGACACTTCAAGTGCCAGGTCTCCCCGAAGTGTGAAGGAGGCAGACTTGGGGCCAGGATGTGTGGTGCTGATTGGGGAGTGGCTCTTGGGGCAGAGCTAACTCCGTCTTGGGACCTTCCCTCCCAACATCCTTGAACAGAACTCACTCCATCTTATGCAGCAGCTTTTGGCTCCTCCCAGTCCTTTGCTCAGCTCTTTCCCCTTTTTCTTTCTGATTTGTTGACTTTGTACAAAATGCAATTTCTGAAAGGCCTAGAAATTTAAGGGCAGGAAACATAAGCTCCTCCCGCAGGAGGTGGCTTCCTTCTCTTCACACTGCTGTTCTGGTCACCTTGTTCTTGCAGCCCCCCCATGCAGTGGGGTCCTGCAGCTTCCATCCTGGTGGGCCTGCTCTGATTTTGTTTTGTTTCTGTTTCCTGTTTTAGTTTCAGAGCATCTCCTTGCGGAAGATCCAGTTTAACTTCCCTTATTTCCGAAGCGACAGGTATGGAAACATGAGGACTTAGTGTTTATGCAAAAGATGGTCATGTCAGGCCAGGCTCAGTGCTTGCCCTAGCCTTGCTCAGAGCAGCCTCTGCAGCCAGTGGCACTCACACCCACTGACAGAGGAGCCAAATACCAAGCTGGCATCATGGCTCTGTGTGTATGTGCGTGTGTGCACATGTCTGTGCGCATGCGCGCGTTCATGTGTGTGTGTGTGTGTGTGTGTGTGTGAGAGAGAGAGAGAGAGAGAGAGAGAGAGAATGAGAGAGAGAATGAGAGAGAAACGCCAATACTAATGCCAGTCAGGGCCCGAATGCTGTCCCTGAGTTTTTTTGTTCAGGGCTGTCACTCTACCACTTGAAACACAGCTCTCCTTCTAGGTTTTTACTTGAAGATAAGAGTCTGATATACTTTTTCTGCCTGAGCTAGCTTTGAATCACAGCTCTGAGCTCTCGGTCTTCTGAATAGTTTGGATTACAGGTGTGAGCCACTAGCACCCAGCGCATCATGGCTTTTATTGTTTCTTGCCAAAAGGCCTAGAAGCATCTCAGAGCATGAAGCCTGGTCTAAGATTGCTAACCAACCAAGAAAGGACACGTGCAGATGTGTTTGTGTGATTCAGACGGGGCGAGGTGGGAAGTGCTTGCAGCAGAGGGCTCTTTTCTGGATTAACCATCCCCAGCCCTCACCCACCCTCTCTTCTTTCCTCAGAGACAAGCGAGACTTCGTCTCAGCCGGGGCAGCCGCAGGGGTGGCTGCCGCTTTCGGGGCACCCATTGGAGGCACCTTGTTTAGTCTGGAGGAGGGCTCGTCCTTCTGGAACCAAGGGCTCACGTGGAAAGTGGTGAGGAGATACCAGAGGAAACCGCACCCCAGAACCCACCTGGGCATCATTCTGGGGAGGCTGGAGGGTGAGAGCCGCCCGAGCCTCCCCTCCGTGGCTTTCATCCTTCCGTGTCAGCACTGCCGCCCCACGGCAGATGGCCACCGTCTTTTGTGAGCCATCTGACGAAAGCACAAAGTGGCCGTCATCTAGGGTCAGGACTTGAACCCATCTCCCTTGAGCAGTCCTTTCTCTTGACACAGTATCTGCTCTCAAAGGGCTCTCATGGAAGGCTAGTGGGAGGAGGCCATCTTAGGGCCTGTTTCCACATTGTCTCCCAAAGTGGATCCATCCCCATCCCAGCCCCGTGTCTGCAGGCCTGGGGCGGTGCGGGGGGGGGGGGGGGGGAGCCGTGGAGCTGTGGGGCTGAGCTTCGAGGGAGAGAGGAAGACCTGTCACAGTTGTGCCCTGTTTTTGTCACTGTCCCCAGCTCTTCTGCTCTATGTCTGCCACCTTCACCCTGAACTTCTTCCGTTCTGGGGTTCAGTTTGGAAGTTGGGGCTCCTTCCAGCTCCCAGGATTGCTGAGCTTTGGCGAGTTTAAGGTATGCCTGTCTTTTCTCCCAGTATTCCTTGCCTGACCCATGAAACTGGCTCTTAGGTGAAGGACCACACAGGTGGTCAGAGGCCAGGTACAGCTTCTAGTGAGGCGTCTGTCTAGTATTGCCACACGTGCCATGCTCAGCGTGGGAAGGATTCGGACAGGGCCTCAGCTCTCAGAGAAGGGAAGGCAGCCCATTCTTGTTTGTTTGTTTGTTTGTTTGGTCGGTCATGGGGCCTGAATTCTGGGGCCTGGGTGCTATCCCACAAGCTCTTCAGCTCAAGATGAGTACTCTACCACTTGAGCCACAGCACCACTTCAGTTTTTCTGGTGGTTAATTAGAGACGAGACTTTCCTGCCTGGGCTGGCTTTGAACCATGATCCTCAGATCTCAGCTTCCTGAGTAGCTGGGATTACAGGCGGGAGCCACCGGCACCTGGCGGCAGCCCCATTCTCGTTTCTGTGTTCTCTCTGTCCCTTCTTGTTCACATGGCCACTCTGGTTTTTCTCTCTCCCTCCCTTCCCCCTTCTCTCAGTGCTCTGACTCTGATAAAAAATGTCATCTCTGGACAGCTATGGATTTGGGGTTCTTCGTCGTGATGGGGGTCATTGGGGGCCTCCTAGGAGCCACATTCAACTGTCTGAACAAGAGGCTTGCAAAGTACCGGATGCGAAACGTGCACCCGAAACCTAAGCTCGTCAGGTATCTGCGTAGTTGCCTCCCCCGGCCTGCTGTAGCTCCCTGAGCCCGGCTCAGGGGCCCTCTTTTCCCAAGAGACAGCTCCTGCCTCCCCCACAACAATGAACACAGGCTCCCAAATCCACCTTGCTGGCCAGACAGGACATGAGGCCTAGCCTGCACTTCATGTATGTCCGGGTGGCTGGCTGACGCCCACCTCTTACGATCTCTTGGTGGCAACAAGACCAAGTCAGGAGGGTCATTGTAGCCCTGTGGAGGCCACTCTTGCCGAGGATGTACTGTGGAGGCCAGTTAATTCTGTGGAAAGAGTATGTGGATATGGTCACCTGCTTGATTGACTGCCCATTTTGAACTGCAGATTGCTGGGACGCAGCAGTAATGCAGCCAGTGTGGGCTGGCCAGGGGCTGATGGGAGTGCCCTGGTGGGAGGGGGCCGCAGGGTGTGTTTCCTCCGGCCAAGTGTCATTATGGATTGTGACAGCTGTGCTCTGCTTCCTAGAGTCTTGGAGAGCCTCTTGGTGTCCCTGGTAACCACCGTGGTGGTGTTTGTGGCCTCAATGGTATTAGGAGAATGCCGAGAGATGTCCTCTGCGGGTCAAATCGGCAACGGCTCCGTCCAGCTCCAGGTAGCCCCGACACACCTGCTGCCTTCACCCTCACCAGAGCCTGCTGTTCCTAGGTGTTAGGTAGCAGGTGGCTGAGAGGGGACTGTGCACCATCTTTCTACCTGAGAGGTTGTACACAGACACCCTCTGCCGGTCCGCTTTGTGAATGAGTCTGGCTCTTGGTCTGCCTTTGTGAATGAATCTGGCTGTGTGGGAAGGGAGCTGTTCCCTAGGAAACACTTGTCAGAAACGAGCTGGGGCTCTGGACTGCTCACTCTCCTATTCCAGGCCTGCAAGGACCACTGAGCAGGCCTCCTTACCCACCACCTGGCCTTTGAGAGTGTGAGTCACTCTTAACACTGGGTAAACAAGCCTGTGAGCCTAGTTACTCAGGAGGCTGAGAACTGAGGATCAAGGTTCAAAGCCAGCCTAGACAAAAAAAAAAGTCCATGAGATTCTTATCTCCAACTAGCCATAAAAATGCCAGAAGTAGGGGCTGGGAAGGTGGCTCAGTGGCAGAATGCTTGCCTTGCATGCATGAGGCCCTGGGTTCGATTCCTCAGTACCACATAAGCAAAAAGAAAAAAGCCAGAAGTGGCGCTGTGGCTCAAGTGGTAGAGCGCTAGCCTTGAGCTGAAGAGCTGAGGGACAGCACCCAGGCCCAGAGTTCAGGCCCCACGACTGGACCCAGGAAAAAAAAAATGCCAGAAGTAGAGATGTGGCTCAAGTAGTAGAGCACCATCTTGAGCACAAAAGCCAAGCTAAACCACCAGGTCCTGAGTTTAAGCTTTAGTACTGGTGTGCACATGTGTGTGCACACACACACAAAGGAACGTTGGTGTCCGGGTGACCCATGAACCTTTTCCTGGTGTCTCCTGGCTCTTGTGGAAGTATCCTGTGTTCCTGTCTCCCCTTCATTTTCCAAGGGTCTTTCCTTGGGGAGCAGGGCACAGGAGCTGGCATGGGGGCTGACTACCCTGTGTGCTTTGGCCACTGGTGGGTCTGAGAAACAGCCATGTGTCCAGCCTGTAGGGTGGCAGCTGCTAAGCCTTCTCCACATTCTTTTTGTTGCTCTTAACTGGTCATGTGAGTCTTTCAGACATTCCCCGTCCCGACCCCCCCAGTCCTTTGTCTTGGAGAACTGCCTCTTCAGTGTCCCAGGAACAGGGCGTGCAGCCCTAGACACGTTAGAGCTGGGGTCAGTAGGCCACAGCCCCACCCAGTCCTCATAGCTGCTCGCTTGTGCTGCCCGAACTGAGGGCTGTTTACATTTCAGATGGCCGGGGGAAGGGAGATGGCTACACTGTGTGGTGGCAAAATGTACAGGACACTGCCTTGCTCTCCAGGGAAGCTTGCTGGCCCCTGCCCCAGTTATTCCCTAGGTCTGTGTCATGAGACCAGTAGTTTTCCAAGTGTGTTCTGTTCTGGAACATTCAAAAACAACCACAGAAGCATTCTGTGCCAGGCATAGTGGCTCCTGCTGGTGATCCTAGCATTCGTGAGGCCAAAGCATAGCTAGCCTGGGTTACAGAGTGAAACCTGTCTCCAAAATCAGACAGAAAAAAAAATCAAGCTGCATTCTGTGCCTGTGGTCTTGTGGGCTGACCTAGACCAAGCAGACCTCCTTAGCACATTGTTCCAGGAAGTGTGGCTGTGTGCCAGACCTCAGTCTCTACGGGCCCATTAAAGACATGGACTCATTCAGGCACTGGCTAGACCAGCTCTTCCTACTTTACATATTAAGAAACCAAGGCAAAGAGAGGTCTTGGCCCAGGTCCCTTAGCTAATAGCATGTGGCATGAGGGTGGCTTTGCTGTCACTGTGTAGATGAGACATGAAATGCTGTCCCTGGCAGAGTAGGTGGCAAAGCCACGTAATTTTCAAGTCTGCTCGGCTTTTCCAAGAAGTGCTGTCCTGCTTCTCAGTGCAGCTGACACGAGATCTTCCAGAAGGTCCTCAGGACTGGTTCCTCCAGTTGTGCTTTGGGAAACCCTGCCCGCCACTGCAACCTTGCTGCTGGGGCTCAGCTCTGCTCTGCTCTGTGATGCTAGAATGTGGCACACATTTCTCCTTCACCAGCTTCTGCCAGCAGGGCTCCATTCTGCCCCCTGTGGCAGCCTGAATCCTGTTGTGTGGCCCAGTCAGCTTCACCTGGGGTCATGCTATTAAAACATTGCCCAGTGTCACGGTGCCCACCCAGAGCGCCTCCACGCTGTCATCAGTGGAGTCAGATGCATGTTCTTAATCTTTGTAAGGCCATTCTGTATTCGCGTGGACAGCCGTGGGTGTGACGCATGGCCCCTGAGCACTGTCTGCTAGAAAACCAGACGCCCTCCCATGAACCACGGTGAGAGCCCAAGGCTGGGAGGGTGGGGAGCAAGTTGGTTCCCTTTTTCCCTTCGGATTCCAGTCTCCAGATGGGGTTAGAGGAGGGGTTGCCAGAGTGTGGCACAGCCACCAAGTTTCGTGACAAGGTGGGTTTCTGTCCCAGAAAGTTCAAGGCAAAGGCTGTTAGGTAAGGCCTTTTAGCAGTGGCCTGGACACCTGTCTGTCACCTGCTGAACTCTTCCCATGGGGGTTCCAGCCATCAGCCCAAGAGAGGAAGCAGGCCATGTCCACAGTGAACTGTGATAGAAGGTTTTTGTAATGGTTAGTTCACTCTACATCAAAATACAGAGTTCAACATCATGGTCAACTACTGTTGGGTTTGCTCAGTTTTTTTTTTTCTGGTCTTAGGGCTTGAACTCAAGGCTTGAACTCTGAGCCTCTCTGTGCTCAAGGCTTAGTGTTCTACCACTTGAGGTACAGAGCCACTTCTGGCTTTTTCTGAGTAGCTCATTGGAGATGGGTTTCACTGGTGCTGGGAATATGGCTAGTAGTAAAGTGCTTGCCTACCGTGCATGAAGCCCTGTGTTTGATTCCTCAGTACCACATAAACAGAAAAAGCCAAGCTCAAGTGGTAGAGTGCTAGCCTTGTGCAAAAAGCAGCTCAGGGACAGTACCCAGGCCTTGAATTCAAGCCCCAGGACTGGCAAAAAAAAAGAGTCTCACTGACTTTCCTGCCTTCCTGCCTGGGCTGGCTTTGAACTGTGATTCTCAGATCTTTGCCTCCTGAGTACCTAGGATTGCAGACATGAGCCACTGGTGCCCAGCCAATTTTGTTTATTGTGATTATTGAGTTGTACAAAGGGGTTACAATTCCGTAAGTAAGATAATGAGTATAATGCTTCTTGGACAATGTTACTCCTTCCTTTGCTTTTCTGCATTCCTCCTTCCCCCGTCCCTGCCCACAAGTCACATAGTTCACTTCTTACATAGTGTGTATTAAATACATTGACTACGTTCACTCCTCACTGCTGCCAGTGTAAGCAGAGGCAAAGCTGTGCAGCTGACTTCTGACCTTGCTAGAGACCACAGAGTCCTGGTCAGGTGTCCTTAGGCTGACCTCTTTTTTTTTTTCCCTTGGCTGGTCCTGGGGCTTAGACGCAGGGCCTGGGCACTGTCCCTGAGCTTATTTGTGTTCAAAGCTAGCACTCTACCACTTGAGCCACAGTGCCACTTCTATCCTTTTCTGAGTAGTTTATTGGAGATAAGAGTCTCACAGACTTTCCTTCCTGGGCTGGCTTTGAACTGTGATCCTCAGATCTGAGCATCCTAAGTAGCCAGGATGACAGGTGTGAGCCACCGGCATCCACTTAGACTGACTTCTTAACTCCTGCTTTCTAGGTCACATCAGAAGATGTAAATTCAAGTATCAAGACGTTTTTTTGTCCCAATGATACGTACAATGACATGGCCACACTCTTCTTCAATCCTCAGGAGTCAGCCATTCTCCAGCTTTTCCACCAGGATGGTAAGTCTGCACTGCCCCAGCCCAGCGGGGCTTGGGCTCCCACTGGCCAGCCTCACCCTTCCCTCCAAGTGACTTCAGGCTTTTCCTGTATCATCCCAGCCACACAGCAACTAGCAGCCCCTGCCCCTGTGCTGGGAGGGGGCCTGGGGCAGGCTGTGGAAGGGCCTGCGAGGAGGATAGCGTGCTGGGTCTTGGTGGCCCTGGAGGCCTGCATCTCAGTCTGGTCTTCCCTTGCAGGGACCTTCAGCCCCGTCACCCTGGCCTTGTTTTTCATTCTCTATTTCCTGCTTGCCTGTTGGACTTACGGCATTTCTGTTCCAAGTGGTCTGTTTGTGCCCTCTCTGCTGTGTGGGGCAGCTTTTGGGCGCCTTGTTGCCAATGTCCTGAAAAGGTACAGTGTGTATGTGTGTTGTGAGAGTGTATATGTGTGAGTGTGTGTATATGTGCACAGAGGTGCATGTGAGTCTAAGTATATGTGTGAGGATCAGGTGCTGGTGACTCACGCCTGTAATCCTAGCTATTGAGGAAGCTGAGATCTGCATATGGAGGTTTGAAGCCAGCTCAGGCAGGAGAGTCTGTGAGTCTCTTTTTTTGGGGGGGAGGGGGTCTGGTCATGGGGCTTGGGCACTGTCCCTCAGCTCTTCAGCTCAAGGCTAGTGCTCTACCACTTGAGCCACAGTGCCACTTCCGGCTTTTTTCTCTTTGCTTATGTGGTGCTGAGGAATCGAACCCAGAGCCTCATGCATGCAAGGCAAGCGCTCTACCACTGAACCACCTTCCCAGCCCATCTGTGAGTCTCTTATCTTCAGTTCTAAAAAGCTACAAGTGGAGCTGTGGTTCAAGAGCACTAACCTTGAGCAAAAAAAAAGCTCAGGGATAGCACCCAGGCCCTGAGTTCAAGCCCCAGGGCCAGCACCAAAAAAAAAAAAAAAGTTTATGTGTGAGAGTATATGTGCATAAGTATATGTGAATACACACATTTGTGCACACAGGCACAGGCGTGGCGGCTGTAGATAAACAGGTGCAACTAAGACTCTCAGCCCATCTCCGTGTGCTTCTTCACCAGCTACATCGGACTGGGCCACATCTACTCAGGGACCTTTGCCCTGATTGGTGCAGCGGCCTTCTTGGGCGGCGTGGTCCGGATGAGCATCAGCCTGACGGTCATCCTGATCGAGTCGACCAACGAAATCACCTATGGGCTTCCCATCATGATCACCCTGATGGTGCGTGTTCCCCCACACACGCTCCCTGCAGGCTCGGGGCCAAGCCCAGCGCACAGGGCCTGCTTTCAGGCTGCTGCTTTGTGTTTCAGGTAGCCAAATGGACAGGGGACTTTTTCAATAAGGGCATCTATGACATCCATGTGGGCCTGCGGGGCGTGCCACTCCTGGAGTGGGAGACCGAGGTGGAGATGGACAAGTAAGGCCCATGTCTGGGGTTGGGGTGGGAAGGCACATTGTTCTCCAGCATAGCAGCTCAGGTGGGGACCAGAGTTGGGACCAGAGGGGCTAAGAGGCTGGGCGAGGCTGAGGGGGTGCAGCCAGGCGTCTGGATCTGGTCAGTGACGGATGGAGACTGAGGCAGGGAATGAGGCCGGCCTGCTGCATGCACACCCAACATGCGCCCCACAGTTGGCCTGGGCGATCCCACAGACCCTGCAGCCTCCTGTCTAGACAGCAGGCTGCCCCGATGGGCTAGCGCAGCGCCACGAAGCAGCTATGGTCAGCTTGGTGCATCTCTGTCACTACTGAGCAGGAAAATACTGTGGCTGAGTGAGCAGGGCTGAATTTGATCTGTGAGCTGGGGTGTGCCATTCCCTGATCCAAAGGAGACCCCAAGATGAAGATTTCAGTTCCAGTAACATTAGCAGTTTAATGGTGATACCTAGCGGGTAGTGTGCAGTGTGCAGGAGGCTGGCCAGCTCTCCCGCAGGCCTCTGGCTCTCCTGGGGAGGGGGGGGGCATGGGTAAAAGCCCACGGCCCACCAGCATGACAACATGGCACAGGGAACAGCATGTGAGAAGGGAATGGAATGCTGCAGAAGGGAGGGGGAACCAGCACCACCCCCTGAGCTTGTTCCCAGTGGGCTTGCTCTTGAGGCTGCCTGGTTCACACCCCCCCCCCCTCCCCAGGCTGAGAGCTAGCGACATCATGGAGCCCAACCTGACATACGTCTACCCGCACACTCGCATCCAGTCTCTGGTCAGCATCCTACGCACCACGGTCCACCACGCCTTCCCAGTGGTCACAGAGAACCGGGGCAATGAGAGGGAGTTCATGAAGGGCAACCAGCTCATCAGCAACAACATCAAGTTCAAGGTAGAAAAAGAGGCCTTGGTGTTCCCGCGCAATGCTGCCACACCCACTGGGTAACCCTGACTGGCTGTGTCCTTGCTGCTGCGACGGCATAGATTCACGGCACAGATGGGCCTTATCCGTCCAAGACATCCCACAGGATCTTTTTTTTTGGTCAATCATGGGGTCTGAACTCTGGGCCTGAGCGCTGTCCCTCAGCTCTTCAGCTCAAGGCCAGCGCTCTACCACTTAAGCCACAGCACCCCTTCTGGTTTTCTGGTGGTTAATTGGAGATAAGAGTCTCAGGGACTTTCCTCCCAGGCAGTCATTGAACCATGATCCTCAGATCTCAGCCTCTTGAGTAGCTTGGATTACAGGTGTGAGCCACTGGCACCGCAACAATTTTATATGTGTACTTATTGGGAAGAATTGTTCCCAAGCAAAAGAAATCTAGTCAGGATTTGAGGCTCTCAAGCTAGTGCAGCTCTCTGCACATAGATTGAGGAGACCTTTTAACTAGGTATGATGCAATGTACAGAATAGGAAAGAAGCCACAGGGTTGGCAGCCATCCTGGGTCTCTGACAGCTCCTGTCCAGTTCTGCATTAGACCCCCGTTGTTCTCCGATCTGTGGGCTGGGCAGTGGCCGCTGGGTGTGTGTGCCAGGCAGAGCCATGCGGCGTCCCTGCGAAGCCTGCCCCTATGCCCGCCCCTCCTCAGAAGTCCAGCATCCTCACGCGCGCGGGCGAGCAGCGCAAGCGGAGCCAGTCCATGAAGTCCTACCCGTCGAGTGAGCTGCGCAACATGTGCGAGGAGCACGCGGCCCCCGAGGAGCCAGCCGAGAAGGAGGACCTGCTGCAGCAGATGCTGGAGCGCAGGTGGGGCCCGCGCCCGCGCTGCCCGCAGCACCGAGGGAGCAGCCCGGCCCAGGGTGTGCTAGGCAGCGTCTGGTTTTTGTGTAACAGATACACCCCCTACCCCAACCTATACCCTGACCAGTCCCCGAGCGAAGACTGGACCATGGAGGAGCGCTTCCGCCCGCTGACCTTCCATGGCCTCGTCCTGCGCTCACAGCTCGTCACCCTGCTCGTCCGGGGCGTGTGCTACTCGGAAAGCCAGTCGGTGAGTGACCCAGAGGCCCTGGGCCGCACGGGCTCCCGGACCTCTGCCTGCCCATGGGCTGGGCATATCCAATCACCGTGCTTCACTCCCAGAAAGGGGGGGCCCCTCCACCGGCTCTCTCCTCTCACAGGTAGACTTTTTAGTATTCCTGTGCCCCCAGGAACATATACCTATGCCGCCCAAGACCACGCATATGTGCGCACACACACCTGCCACTCATGAATATATATAGACACACCTATGCCACCCAAGACCACACACATGCACACACATGCACCTGGGCTACCCAGGAACACACATACCTCCCTGTGCCACCCAGGAACACACACACATATACACACCTGTGCCACCCAGGAACATACACACACACCCTGTGCCACCCAGGAACATACACACACACCCTGTGCCACCCAGGAACATACACACACACCCTGTGCCACCCAGGAACACACACACCCCTGCCTGGGGCCCCCACGCTGTCCACAGTAGGCGACTGGGCAAGTTGTCCACAGGCTCCGGCCTGAGGCCTGTGGTCCGACAGGCCTGCACAGAGCAGTGACGGGTGGCCCAGGAAGATCCCCACATGGCGATGGGGAGGGAGATGTGCAGCAGGGCTGGCAAAGGGGGACGCCAGCCCTGCCTCCCCTGGCAAGGACACTCGTCTTGGTTGGGATTGCAGAGTGCCAGCCAGCCACGCCTTTCCTATGCTGAGATGGCCGAGGACTACCCACGGTACCCCGACATCCATGACCTGGACCTGACGCTGCTGAACCCTCGGATGATTGTGGTGAGGGGCTGTCCGTGGGCTGTCTGGGATGGCTGTGGTGAGGGACTGTCCGTGGGCTGTCTGGGATGGTTGAGGGACTGTCTGTGGGCTGTCTGGGATGGCTGTGGTTGAGGGACTGTCTGTGGACTGTCTGGGATGGTTGTGGTTGAGGGGCTGTCCATGGGCTGTCTGGGATGGTTGAGGGGCTGTCCGTGGGCTGTCTGGGATGGCTGTGGTGAGGGACTGTCTGTGGGCTGTCTGGGATGGCTGTGGTGAGGGGCTGTCCGTAGGCTGTCTGCGATGGTTGAGGGGCTGTCCGTGGGCTGTCTGGGATGGTTGTGGTGAGGGACTGTCTGTGGGCTGTCTGGGATGGTTGAGGGGCTGTCTGTGGGCTGTCTGGGATGGTTGAGGGGCTGTCCGTAGGCTGTCTGGGATGGTTGTGGTGAGGGGCTGTCTGTGGGCTGTCTGGGATGGCTGTGGTGAGGGGCTGTCCGTGGGCTGTCTGGGATGGTTGAGGGGCTGTCCGTGGGCTGTCTGGGATGGTTGTGGTGAGGCGCTGTCCATGGGCTGCAGCTGACCCCTGCTGTCTCTTCTGCAGGATGTCACCCCATACATGAACCCTTCCCCATTCACCGTCTCTCCCAACACTCACGTTTCCCAAGTCTTCAACCTGTTCAGGACCATGGGCCTCCGCCACCTGCCTGTAGTGAACGCAGTGGGAGAGGTGAGCCTAACCACACCCCTTGGCCCTCTGCCTGGGCCGCCTCTGTCCCAGAAGGCCAGCAGGTGGCGCCAGGGTGCCATGCTGCCTTCTTGCCTTACTGTGACTTGTGACTGAGTTACAGTGTCCTCACTCCGGACCTACCCTGTTGTTTCCTACCTATTCATGGAGATTTGTAGCACTAACAAGAGGGTTTAGAACAAAATGCTTAGGCTGGGTGCACGGTGCCCAGCACTCAAGTGCTGAGTTACAGGTGTGTGCCACCATGCCTGGCACCTTATATTTCTGGTTGTCCTAAAAATGCAATCACTCAGGCCGGGCGTTGGTGGCTCACGCCTGTAATCCTAGCTACTCAGGAGGCTGAGATCTGAGGATCGCGGTTCAAAGCCAGCCCGGGCAGGAGAGACTGTGAGACTCCTATCTCCAATAAACCACCAGAAAACCGGAAGTGGCGCTGTAGCTCAAGTGGTAGAGTGCTCGCCTTGAGCTGAAGAGCTGAGGGACAGCGCCCAGGCCCAGAGTTCAAGCCCCACGACCGACCAAAAAAAAAAAAAAAAATGCAATCACTCTCCAGAGCATCTGTGGGACATGACTTTACACAACTTGAGACCTTTCTCTTGTTCTAGATCGTAGGGATCATTACCCGGCACAACCTGACATACGAGTTTCTGCAGGCCCGGCTGCGGCAGCATTACCAGACCCTCTGAGTCTGCGGCCCCCTCCCCAAGCCGCCTGGCAGGCGCATGCTCACTCGAGAGCCCCACAGGTGGCTGGGCTGTTCCAGCCTGGAGGTTCCCAGGTACGCCCTTGCCCAGAAAGCCTGGAATCATCAAGCACTACGCTGGCCAGAGATCCTGAAGATGGGCCTGAACTGGAAGCTTGGGCTCTTCCAGCTTCTCCACAGGCCCCCGTTGCTCCCTGTGCTTCTGCATCGGTGTCGGCACAGGCCTGCCCAACCCCCGTGAGCCAGGGTCAGGGGTGGAAGGCAGGCCGGGCCCTGCGTATCTTTCCTGCCCTGCCGTTCCTCCTCTCCTGGAGTGCCCAGCTGCTGCCTTATATCCTGGATGGCCTGGGCCCAGGTGAACATTGCGGGGCTGTTTTCCATGAAGTCCATTGCTGAGTTTGGAAATTGGGCTTGGAGAAAGCCCCTGTGAACAGGGAGGCCTCTCTTGGAACAACTCCTTTTCCTCCACTTCCTCCTCTTCCTCCTCCTCCTCTTCCTCCTCCTCCTCCTCCTCCACCTCCTCCTCCTCCTCTGTGGTCCTGGGGCTTGAGCCCAAGGCCTCCCACACACAGCCTCTTAGCAGCTTCTCTGATCCATATGAAGGGCAGTGATCCACCTCTTCCCACCCCCACAACCCCCTCGTCCCAAGCTTCCCCATGGCCCAAGTCTCCCTGGAGCCACCATCAGCCAGAAGCACAGAGCACGGAGATCTGACTCTCAGTCTCCAGATTCCAGTCCTATCGAGAGTCACACCACCACCCCCCCTCACCATTCACAAACAGCCGTGGTCTCCCCAACCCTCTCACTCCCATGACTTCTGGGCTTTCTTAGTTCCCAGTTCCTCCGTGGTAGGGCAGCCACAGCTTAGCCTCGACCCTGCTCCCCAAGTTAACTGGAGCTGGGCACCCCAGACCAAACTGCGAGCACCAGGGAAGGGGCCGTTTTTACAGACCGGCAGCAGGCTGTCCTGAGCCAAAGGTATGTGACAGGGTGGGTGGCCATGGGAGGGAGGAAGGGAAGGGAAGGGAGGGAAGAAGGCCGCCCTTCTGGTCAGTAGCCTCGAGGGCCAGTGTGGAGCTTGAGGAGCGTGCAGCGTGCCGCGCCCTGGCACAGGCCAAGCCCAGCTCAGGCTGCTGGCCGCGCGTGGGCACTGCGTGGCGTCCGGTTAAGGTTGCTGTCACGCATCTTCCTCCCCTTCCACATGTGTGTCAGCGTGTCCCATCCTCTCCCCTGTGGCAGCCACCCTCTGGGACTCACGGTAGCTTTTGTTTGAATTTCATGTTTGTTGTCGTTTTGTTTTTTGCCAGTCCTGGGGCCTGGGTGCTGTCCCTGAGCTTTTGTTCTCGAGGCCAGCACTCTACCACATGAGCCACAGCGCCACTTCCAGTTTTCTGGTGGTTAATTAGAGATAAGAGTCTCACAGGGAATTTCCTGCCCGGGCTGGCTTTCAACCTCGATCCTCAGATCTCAGCCTCCTGTGTAGCTAGGATTACATGTGTGAGCCACCAGCTTCCGGCTCATTTCATGTTTTTCAAACCATAGAAGTCCGAGAGCCTGGGTGCATGGGCCTGGCCCCATGCAGCCTGGGAGAGACTGGTCCCGGCCAGGCCTGGGGGGTCTTACGCTCACTCTCCCCCCTCCCCCAGCCCAGGAAGCTCCCCGGGCCCTCAGGACCCACAGCATCACCTCCAGTTCTCCCCTTGCTTGTTTTGGCCAAAACAACTGACATTTCCACTTCCGGCCTCTGTGGTAGCCTGGTGTGTGTTTGGGATGGTACTTCCAACAAAATGGAACTTAGCCAGTGTGTTTGCCTCACTGCTCTTGCTTTTCTGGCAACGTTCAAAACTTGACCACATTGCCCTTCTTTTTTTTTTTAAATAAGGGCCCAGCCAAGCACTGAGGCTTATTTCTGTAATCCCAGCCCCTCAGAGCAGGAGATCTGAGAATTAAGGTTCAAAGCCAGCTCAGGCAGAAAAGTGACCCAGTAAAAAGCTGGGAAGTGAAGGTATAGCTCAAATGGTAGAGCACCAGCCTCAAGTGAAAAAGCCAAGAGTGGGAAGCCCCGAGTTGGATCCCCAGTGCCCACCCCCAAAATAAAGTACCCAACTGTCGGAGTGCACCCCCTGCCACGGGGCCTCACCCCTTCCGGCCCCCTGGGTCCCGCAAAGGCCAGCCATCCCATGAGGTCACACAAGGAGATGATGTGTCCCCTCCTGTCGCTCCCTACCCAGCCCTGTGTCCATGTCACTTGAGCCCAGAAGTAGAACCAAGCCAGACTCCCCATCCCGTTGTTCCATCGCCTCCGCTCTTCCAGGAAGTGTGGAGGCCACGGCCGGCTCCCTGTCGCCCCATGCTGACCACTGGCACCCGTTGGCCCCCAGTGCTCTGCCCATCACAGCTTGGGGTGCAGGTGGTGGTGGTGGGGTGACGCTTGCTGTCCTCAGTTCCAGGCAGTTCTGTGCTTTGGGGGCGTCCGCTTGAGACCGTATGTCACTGCTGGGGAGGGCGCTTGCTGTGCGGTGGGCCTGATGCAGCACAGGGCCGGCCGCCCCAGGAGGACAGAGCTCCGGAAGGCCCGCGGGTGCAGCCTCCATGGAGGCCGACGCTCTGGGGGAGGCCAGCGCAGCCTCCTGGGCCTGGCAGTATTGACCTACAGTGTTGGCCCTCAGCCCTGCAGCCCCGGCTGTCGTCCTGGCCCCGGCTGTCGTCCTGGCCGCGGCTTCTTTCCGTTTGCACTGTTAGTTTGAACTGTAACGTCAGCCATGTCCGTTGTGTGTGTAAATCATAGTTGTTTTTTAATTTGTAAAGCTCTATTTTTATTTGAACTTGGGAGGTCCTCCTAGTAGCCATATCATGTGGAATAAAATGTCTGCATCCATCTCCTTAGCCTCCGCCTCCGGGTTCTCTCCTGCCGTGCTGGGTGTCATGGGGCCTCGTCCCTCCTGTCTGCCCAGCAGGCCTAGCGGCCACCAGCTCCACTTACCAGCTTCCATCAGTTGCCTTCATAAGAACAAATTTAGGAAGCCGGGCGCTGGTGGCTACTCAGGAGGCTGAGACCTGAGGATCGCAGTTTGAAGCCAGCCTGGTCAGGAAAGTCTTTGAGACTCTCATCTCCAAATTAACCACCAGAAAACCGGAAGTACCACTGTGGCTTAAAGTGGTAGAGCTCTAGCCTTGAGCAAAAGAGCATAGAGATAGCACCCAGGCCCGGAGTTTAAACCCAATTAACAACAAAAAATTAGGGGCCTGGGTGAAAGTGGCTTTACACCTGCAGTCGGGTACTTGGAAGGGATCTTGGAGAAGTGAAGGTTTTTGTTTTTTGGGTTTTTTTGGGGGGGGTCCGGTCGTGGGGCCTGAACTCTGGGCCTGGGCGCTGTCCCTCAGCTCTTCAGTTCAAGGCAAGTGCTCTACCACTTGAGCCACAGTGCCACTTCTGGCCTTTTTTTTTTTCTTGCTTATGTGGTGCTGGCCCCACCTTCCCAGCCCAGAGAAGTGAAGTTTAAAGCAAGCTTGGGTAAAAAGTTGGTGAGACCCCATCTCAACAACAAGTGTATGGTGGTCATGTCTCTAATCTCAGCTATGTGGGAGAGATAAGGACAAGAATTTCCAACTCAGGTCACCCGTGGTCAAAAACACAAGTTCCTATCCAAAAAATAATAATAACTTTTAAAATTAAAAATTAAAGACTAAAACATTAAGATTGGTTTAGCTCTGTGGAGCTAAAAATCATTAGGATACCACTGTTTCTCCTGTAAGATGAATACTGGTCTATTTGTCTTTCTTGCAAAAATCCCTCTTTCTACTAGGGGCAGCTTCGCAGAGCCAAGAACAAGAGATTTTGGAAAGGGGTGTTGGTCTTTCTTTCCCCTCCCCTCCTCTTCTCTTCTTTTTCTTCTTCCCTCTCCTCCCTCTCTCTCTGAAAAACCAGTAAAAAAGTTGGAATTGGAGCTGTGGCTCAAGTGGTGGAGCTCCAACCTTGAGCAAACAAACAAAAAACTCAGGGGGCTGGGATTGTGGCTTAGTGGTAGAGTGCTTGCCTAGCATGCATGAAGCCCTAGGTTCAATTCCTCAGTACCACATAAACAGAAAAAGCTGGAAGTGGTGCTGTGGCTCAAGTGGTAGAGTGCTAGCCTGGAGCAAAAGCAGCTCAGGGACAGCGCCCAGGCCCTGAGTTCCAGCCCCGGGGCCCATACAAAAAAGAAATGTGACCTGGCTTGCTGGCCCGAGTGTGATGTGCTCCTCCTCCCCCACCCTCTCTGCGCACTGGGGGGTGTGGTCTGCCCTGTAGGGGGCGTGGCCTGCCATCACTGCTGCTCAGAATCCAATGTTCTCCCCAGGGCTGAATAACGGGCCGGGGGGGGGGGGGGGCAGGCAGGGGGACACCAGCCAGATGGCTCATGCTTATAATCAGCTGAGATTTGAGGATCTTGTTTTGAAACCAGGAGAAAGTCCTTGAGACTCTTATCTCCAATTAACCACCAAAAAGCCAGAAGTGGAGCTGTGGTTCAAATGGTAGAGTGCTAGCAGAAAAGCTCAGGGGCAGTGTTTAGGCCCTGAGTTCAAGCCCCAGTATGGACACACACACACACGCACAGGCTTAGCACCATACCCTTTTCAGAAGCAAGAAGAGAAATCTAGTCCAGTCTACAAGCTACACACTAGGGCCCTGCAAAGGGAGAGACCATGACTCAATGGATGTGGTTTGGTCCCCAGCACCCCTAAATAAATGAATATGTATTTAAACATGAACCTGGAACTTCTCAGCACAGCAAGCCATTCTCTGCTCACTCGGCTTTGAAGTCAGGCAGCCTTGTTTGAGCTCAGGTGTCCTTATCTAGCTGTGGCAGCGGACTCCGAGGTTCCAGAGGGAATGCAGGGGGCACCCTTGCTTCCGACCTATGCCCTTCCACCCACCAGAGTTGTAACCCAAAGTCATCTAATTTAATAGCTGTTTCCAGGAAGAGAAGCCCTCATGTTCTGTGAGTTTTTCTTCCAATAAGCAAGGGCCACCACACATGTTGACATCTGGAGAAAAATGCTCTATTTTTTCCCCTCCAGGGGCCTCTGTGGCTGAGGCTGGGTGAAGGGCAGAGCAGGTGGAGAACTGGAGTTTAAGACCCTTCCTTGCCCCAACCAAGAAAAGAAAGGGAGGAAGAAATGAGGAAAAGAAGAAAGAAACTTGGGTGTGGCCAAATGGGATTGTACACACCTATAATCCCAGCGTTCAGGAGGCTGAGGCAGGAGGGTTAGGAGTTCTAGGCTAGGCTAGGCTAAATAGCAAACCTTAGCTCAAGGAAATAAGGAAAGGAGAGTTGGAAAGGGAAACTAGAATCATTTTCTCTCTGACAACGAATACATAACTTTGACTCTCTTCCCCCTGGGTAGGAAAGAAATCACACCACATCAGGCCTTTGGCTTCTGTCCATGGTGCTGAAGTTTAATTCACTTGGCAAAAGTTTTCAGTAACAGGTGAAGGAGCTACCTTAATGCATGGGGTGGGAGATAGGGGTGGAGAGCCACGATTACACCACTCTCTCCATATTTAGCATAGAATGGCAGCATTGACGGGATTCTGCAGCTTCGTGCAGGTTCATACAGAGCTGAGACCCGGCTGTGAGGGGTGCCAGGGCTGCGGATCTCCCAGCCCGCCCCAGCCTGGCCGCCTTTTGTCTCGCTGGCTGTTATCTTCGATACTACAAAGAGAAAATCATACTTGTCTTGGTGACCTTGTCCTGTTGAAGAGGTGAGCTCCCTTGGACTGCACTAAACTCAAACTTGACCCAGCCAGTTTCTTCCCCCAGCCTCAATCTCAGCCCACGGGCCTCTGAGTTTCCTAAATAGAGAAGAGTTACTCCTTAGTGCTAATAAGGGCAGTCTTTGTGCATTTCATTTCCACTTTTCAGGATCTTGAAAGATTAATTGCGAGATAAGAGTCTCAGGGACTTTCTTTGCCCGGGCTGGCTTTGAACCTTGATTCTTAAATCTCAGTCTCCTGAGTAGCTAGGATTACAGGTGTGAGTTACCAGAGCCTGGCTGCTTCCTTCTTTCCTTCCTTCCTTCCCTTTCTCCCTCCTTCCCTCCCTCCCTCCCTCCCTCCCTCTCTCTCTCCTTCCTTCCTTCCTTCTAACAATTCTCATCAGGCTAGAGCTGAAGATGGTGGAATTATCCTCAGATTTTGGGGACAGCATCAAGCTGGGGCAGAAATCTCAGAAGGAACTAGCTTCTATGCTGATCCGTTTCCTGAGACTATGCTCCTCCACCCCTGCAAAGTCAGATTCTCCCCAAACCCATAATTTTCCTCCTCCTGTGTGGGTTCT